GTTCTCGGCGGACACAACATCTTTGTTGGTATGTGGTGCTGAGGATCGAACCCGGGCCACACGCATGCCAGGCGAGCGCGCTACCGAGCGCGCTACCGCTTGAGCCACATCCCCAGCCCCAAAGGGGAATTCTTTTTGAAGGTGTAACCGTTTCTCTCCCATGTTGCAGATATATACATTCTTCCTCATCATGTGTGACAGACATTTGGAGAACTCTCACAATGGAGTGATTCCCTTCCATGGACCCATTTGAAACGTGTGGTCCAACTACAGCTGTCTAGCATATGACCTTGGGGTCACCAGGTCACAGCACACACACAGATAAATAATCCGCCTATTCCTGGGTGTGGCCACATATAAACCTCCTTTTCAGAAGCTGTAAAACAGGTGCTAATCTTACAGCCCACCCAGGGCTCACGTGTGAGTGAGTGTGACTCAATGGAAGGTGTGCTCTGTTTTTTTTGGGGGGGTTCCTATGGAAATTCAAGGTACATCAAATTAGTGTCTCAGGCTTCACTTGGAGAGCAGGTGAAGAGTGAGCTGCAACCATTCCCCCAGCCAAGGCTCCTTTCTGGGCGCAAGGCAGAAAGCATGGGACCTCTGCAGGCTAGTGAGCAGTGAAAATTCACTCACACTCCCTGGTGGCAGAAGAATCATGTGCCTTCTAAAGGTCAGCAGAGAACAAACAGGAGTTCGTTAAGACAGGAATATTTTTAATTAATTTTAACACCTCCCAAAGGGAATTTGCACATGCATGTCCACGTCTCTAGGAAGTCTGCGATTTGCCGGACTCTGGGTGTCCCCAAGAACAGCTCAGTGGAGCCACCCATCCTTAACAACCCACCAACCACAACAAAGGCAATGAGGCCGGGTTTTCTTTCACAGAAAGAGTAACATTTCCTTCAGCYGCTCCGTGCTTTGCACCTACCATTCTAACAATGAGATTTAATTGGAAAGCATTTCAGTCTTCACAGTAAAACACTCCTTAAAAAAATACTTCAAAAATGTAAAGCAAAATATTTTACCAAAATAATTCTTTCATTTTTCACATTGTTCTTTCCATCAGCTAGGTTAATAAACAGAACCACCTTCTACTGGCTTCAAGAATGTCACTCAAATTATTACTTTTAACCTTAMCCTTAATTTGAGTGGAAAAAGCTAAGAAAAAAAAATTATTCRTAATTCCAAAAGAAGCACGGTCATGAGATACACAGAATAAGGCTCTTCAGATGTCTAGCACACTCGTTTTTAATGTATTAATAACAGTTGTGATTGAAAGAATATGGCTAGGGTGCTTACAACAGTGACCCAATCAGAGAGAAGCAATAAATAATATCTATAAAGAATAGAATGCAACTGCTTGAAACTGTTTTCTTAAAACCAACCAGTTTCTTTTGAGAGCTCCCAACAAAAATCAACGTCATCACCCTTCAGCATAAGCCCCGGTCAAGGCCACATGATCAGCGCCACCTCGCTGAGTGAAAGGGTGACAACGGGATGTTGAACTGATTTGAAATGCGCCTTAAAAGTCACGATCATTTTCCTTGAAGGCATAGCAGTTACTGAGCTGGACACAGCGCATTCCAAGTAAAATGTCTGCCACGGATGCATTAAGGCAAAAGTGTCCCAGCCTTGAGCCATAAAGAATGGGGGGATATGCAGGCTGCCTCTAACCAAAGGAACTAAGAACATGTCACCTAAAAATGAGGCTAGTCAGCAAACACTGCCAGGGAACAACCACGGGGCCAAGACTAAGGCTTGCTCAAGGCCCCGACCCCATGCGGGTCAGGTTGCCATCAGGGACCTCGGGTTCAGGTCACTTGACCCTTCACTGCCCTGTCTGCCCTCTGTAGAAGGCGACACAAATGTCGCTGCCATGGGAGTGTGCCCCTCAGGACCCCAGCCGTGCACATCTGGCAGTCCTCAGCTGAACCTCGTCAGGGGGCAAGCCTCTGCTYGGGCATCGGAGCCCCATATTGCACATCAACCAGAACTGACCCTGGAGCAGGCTGGGGCTCAGCGCTGCCGTGGGCAGCAGCCACACTGAGGATGCCTGGCACCCAGGAACACCCCACTCCTGGCTAGAAGGTCCARCCTCCGTGGTGTACTTAGACACGTCACCCCATGGCAGGGGGAAGGGGGAGAAATGCTCCTCAATTCTAAGAAAATGAGCACACATGGGCTCCCAGTGCCGGCTCCAGGGTCCCCACAACCCRTTCTTTAGTGGTGACAGGCTCCCGCACCACTGCAGGAGGCTGTGTGGCATGTACTATGCTGAAGCAGAATGAATGTCCTGGTTCTCAAAAGGTGGCGGCGGCTCTCTCCAGAAGGTGAAGTTACTGAAAGTGTCCGCGCAGGGGAAGTCCGAAGAATGACTTCTCTTCAGCAACGGGAAGACGTGGTCCACCACCTCACACAGCCTCACATACCTGCAAGGGAAATGGACACTGAGTTGCACCAGCACCAGGGCTGCCCTCGCAGTAGGCAAGACCCACAACCCCAGCCAGTGACCACCTGCCCAAGGTGACTAGGAGGACACCCCTTACTAATGAGGAATCAAGAGGTGAGAACAAGAGTCATAAAGGAGTCCTGAGGGCTCCACGGGAGGGGTCACACAAAGGACAATAGGAGGAAATCAGCACGGCCACCACACTGCTGCCTGCCACAGAGGCCACCTGGACACAGGGGACACCTCCCAGGAGAAGACAACAGAGACTGCTTCACTACAGGATGAAAAGACAAGCAGCCCTGGCGAGAGGAGCCATGCCCTGGCCGTCGCCCTGCCACTTTCCAGCTCTGTGAYCTTGGGAAAAGGGCCACAATTTCCATCCCTGTAAAGTGGCAGAAATGAAAACTGCCACAGTGTTACTATCAGAATTAAATGAAATAGTATCTGCAGCAATAGAACTGCATATAGTGGGTACTCAATAAATTTATTCAGCAAATCATTAACATGTCTCAGGGAAAAAATTCTGGCTGGCATGAGGGTCAAGGTATTTGGGAGCTGCTCCTGCCTTACTTGCTGAGGGACCTGGGTAAACATCTTGCCCTCTCTGAGCCTCAGGCCTTTCATCTTCAGAGTGTGTGGAGCTGGACTAGAACAGGTTTCTCAATGCTCCCTACCACCTTCTCTCACTCTATTTTCTCTGCATTCCCAAGAGGATGCTGCACATTAGCTTTTGTGCCTGCACTACAAAAAGAAAGTTGCATTCTGAATCTGCCTTTTCAGACCCCCAGGCACCTCCACCCGACTCGGACACGCCTGGCCCTCTCCCTCGCATCCCCAGGCTCCTCCCTGACAATCCCTGGGCCTCTTTCCAGTTCCAATTTGCTTTTTGAAAACCTAAAGGGGCTTTTGAAATCCAGTCTCCAGGAATTAGTATGTTCTGAGGCATAAAATAACTAAGGACGAGTGTGTGTGTTTAATAGGGGGCCTCTGCAGGCCTCATGAGGAACAMTGTACTGGCACAAATGGGAAAATCTCTCTTAATATAAAACCAAGAATTATGTCTTTACYGGGGATTAAAACAAAATTTCTAAAGACCTCCCAGCTCTAAGGCCTATTAATCTGAGCCTTATGGCTATAGGAGGAGCCTCCCGGCTGCAGCAGTTCTCTGCCAGGCTGCAGTAGGCACCAGAACCAAGCCCACGTGCTCTGGTGACAAGGCAAGACCCAGTGGGTGCCTCAGCCCTCCACGACTGGGCTCCCTGCAGCAGGCGGGCATAACATGCAAATGGAGGAAAGCACCGAGCTACTTTATGCCCATCCCTGAGGACATTCCAGATAACTGGCCAGGTATACCCACGTGGCTTAGAAATGTAGCAAGTTCAGTGCCTGAGCAATGTGGGAGTAGTCCCCTCACGGAGTAGTCCCATCATGGTGCAGGTGTCAGGGGAGAGCATCATTTGGCAAGATGGGAGTTGGCTCCATGCATAAGTCCACCCTGGGGCCCAGCGACAGGCCACAACAAGGGGCTACAGCAATCTAACCCGAGTCTCAGGAGGCAAGCAGAGTGACGCTGGAGGTTTTGGGCAAGCAGTCTTAGAAACTGAATCCCTAGCCACGGAAAGCTCTTTGTAACCCTAAACAAAAATCCATAGATCGTCTCTAGGCCAGGGACCCTTTCACATGGGCACATGCTGCACTGGCATTAGGGAGAAGAGGAATGGAGACATTGTCAGGGAAGCAGTTTAGAACAAGGGGACACAAGAATTCATCAGAGGTTCCCAAATTTCTATATTATGAGTACAGAGAAATAGACCCACCAAGATCCTAATCAATCATAAACAAAGCATCAGGTTCAAGGGTGCACGCCTGTGATCCCAGCTATGCTCTTTGAGAGGCTGATTGCAAATTTGAGGCCAGTCTGGGGAATTTAGTGAGACCCTGTCTAAAATAAAAGGGCTGGGATCTGGCTCAGTGGTAGAGCACTTGCCTAGCATGTTAAAGGGCCTGGGTTCCATCCCCAGTACTGCCAAAAACAAAAATAGCCATTGGGGTTAGCCCTCTGACTTGAAAAACCTGAGTTTTAACCAAAACATACAAGAGAATTTCTTAACAACTACACAGGACAGGGAGCTTCAGCACTTGAGGAGACACCCAGCTTCCCATATTTCTGCTTGGTTACATTTCTAATCCACACTCTAGGCTTCCRAGCCTAACTCGGCAAATCTAAACAAGGACATTTTGAATTCATTCAATTCTTTTTGGTAGCAGAATCTGACGTCCAGTTCAAGTTTCACACCTAGAGGGGAATCTGATTTGATTCTAGCTGTCTAAAAATTAAATTTTGGACAAAAAATATAGGAATTAAACCACATGCTTTAGAGTAGTTAAAGATTAAAAACACAGGTAGCAAGGGCTTCAAGAGTCTACTGTAAATGGCAGAGCGCCATCTCAAGACACAGCTGCAGCCCCAGGTGGCACACGCCTGCCATACTCACGAGGAGATGTTGGTCTTGGCATGCTCCTGTACCAGCTCTCCTTTAGGGTTGACAGTGAAGATTCTGTTCAAGGACACCCCCACTTGCTTGTAGGAATACACGTCCTGTGTGGAGAAAAACCTGAGTTTTTAAACAAGTTCACTGTAAAAAAAGTGTGTGATCTCTGTTTTAAAGTAAGAGCATCAAATTCGCACCAACAAGAGCAGGAAGTGGGGAACCAGCCAGCTTTCCTCCCCCAGCCTCGGGCCCCTCTGTGTTCAGGAACCCAGTTAAAGAGCAAGCAAACTCCTGCGTCTCCTGCAATCCTGACATTCTTTGGGGTTACTCTGTCCCACTTTCCTGTTTCATAAAAACCTGTCATGATGTTTAAGAGTACAAGAATTTTCTGGTTGAGCAAACAGTACTGTACCCACTGTATTCTCCAGAATTCTGAACCTTCCACTAAACTTGGGCCACACACACACAACCTCAAAGCATTTCCTCTTCCTGTAAGATTATATGTTCCACACTCTTAAAACGCTACACCCCTAAGACTYAATATGTGGACTTCCCCACCCTGTGGAAGAAAGGATCTAATGCTATTAAATGTCCTTGCTTTACTCATWAAGAAGTGATATGGAATTTCAAGTTTATAGGCCCACACCTCAAGGTCAAACCCACCAGGCAAGCCTTCAGAAAAAGCTGGAGGCCATGTGACATGATTTCAAATCTCTTTGCCTTGAGATGCAGCCATTTGCCAGGCTATGTGAACAGGATGAGGACTGGCTTTACATGAGGTTTGGGCCACAGCTCTCCRGTGACTACTGTTGGGGGAGCAATGTCCAGGGCTCTTAGGAACTCAACCTAGTACTCACAGCTGGCCGGTTTCCAAATGCAGCATAAAAGGGTTCCGTATTTGGGAAAAACAGGTTTTTGATGTCGGTTAAACACTGGACTTTAAACTTTTCTGGCTTCTTTTCAATCACTTCTCTGTTAAAACAAACAAGTAAATAACAGATCAGCAGGAGAATAACTTCAGTAACACTAAACTACTTATAAGCCTCAACAYGGTGAAGTCAGTGAAGCCAGCCTAGGAGAGTGTCAGGGGTGGCCTGCCAGCCTCCCCACAGGGACGGCGCCAGGAGGAAGAAAGACTTCCAGCAACCGGCTAAGGAGCAGGGACTCCCAGGCCTACTGAGGGGAGCATCTCCACACCTACTCATGAAACAGGTACAGCTCGAACACAGAACCTGAGGAAAATTCTGAGCAACCGGTAAACCAATCTAGCCCATGAATAAGGGCAAGGCTTCCAAATACATACATGTGTGTAAACCAGCAATACCCAAAAGCCAGGCTCACGTCAGGAATGCAAGAGTGACATAATATCTAGAATTGATTAGTATAACRCAACACATTGTCAGATTAAGGGGAAAAAATCTCTGATATAAAAAGGACAATTATACAATTCAATATCAAATCAGGATGAAAATTCTTAAACCAGGATGAGAAGGGGATACTCAAACCTCCTGACAGTAAAATGCYGGGGTCTCCAGCACCACGGCAGTTCAGTGTGTACACTCAGTCCCACCCAGAGCAATGACATGAAAAAATAAATATAGGCTGTAAGGATTGAAAAGGATGTGAGAGAAACAACTATTCATATTCACAAAAAGCCGCCACCTACACTTTTTAAAAACCCAGATGAGTTATCAGAATTCAGGAAGGTTAATAAGTCAAAGGAAAAAAAAAATCAATGCATTTCCATGTATCAGAAACAGAGAATATAATTGTGTAAACGKTATTTAAAATAGATTTTAAAATATCAAATGTCTAGAAACCTAACAGTCATGACAGACCTTTCTAGCTAAAGTTATTAAACTACTAAAAYACATTAAGAGAAGGCCTACATAAATGAAGAAATAAATTATATTCTTGAATTAGAAGATTCAATATTATACTGAAATATTAATTCTCCCTAAATTGACCTACAGAGTCATTGCAATTTTAATCCAAATTATGAAAGATTTTTGTTATGTTTTTATATAACTGCATTCCAAAAGCCACACAGCAGAACGAAGCCAGGACACCCCTGCTGGTGGGAGGGTGAAGGGCTTTCGAAGCCCTGGGGCCTGACACACTGCAGTACCTGGTCCATATGTTCCTTTGCCAAGGGAAAAACAGAGCCCAGAAACGATCACACATTCACAGATGCTTGGCTGATGACCACCAAAGCATCCCAAAACAGGATGAAAGGGCAGTGTGTTCTTAATATAAGGTGCCAGGACAAATGAATACCCACAGAAGAAAAACAAAATTACTCTGGGTCTCTGCATCAGGCTATCTACAGAAATCAGTTCCTAGTTAGTGTAGACCTAAYGAGAAAGTCAACGCCAGTCAATAGAATTCAGAAACTATGCTCACAGGTCAGGGAGGACTTTGTTAAGATACAAACGCCTAAACCTCAGAGCCAACAATATGCTYAGCTCTAAGTAACTAAGAACTTACGCTCATTAGAATCAATAAACTGAAAAAAAAGAGATTTGCAGCACTCATAGAACACACATTGCGCTCTCCCAAAGCAAAAAGAAGTTGCAGGGAAGCCTTGGATAGGCACRTCATTGAAGAGGTCCTCACGGACCAGTAAGTCTAAAAAGAGGTATTTATACCCCCTGGCAAGAATGTAAAAGTCTGCCCTCGACCCAGCACACGTGCCCTAGGGACACACACAAGAACACTGCTGTCTGGGCTGGGGTTGTGGCTCAGTGGTAGAGCACCTGCCTAGTACGCACGAGGCCCTGGTTCAATTTCCAGGCCCACATAAAAAAACCAAATAAGCAAAATAAAGGTATTGTGTCCAYCTACAACTAAAAATATTTTTTAAAAATAAATAAATAAAATACTGTATCAACTGCAAAAAGTTAGAGATGACTCCAGAATCCACCAGCAGCAGAATGAATAAATAGGTGTGAGGCCACGCAAACAGAAACCACTAAAGTAATGAGCAAACTGCAGCTCCACTCGAAATCCTAGAGATTCTCACCAAGAGCTGAAATATATGTTCCAAGAAAACACCTGATTTCATTGACATAAAACTCACAAACATGCACAAGTAAATATTTTGCTTAGGGTCACAAATATCGGTGAGAAGATTAGCAAGACCATAAGGAATGACTAACAGACCTCGGGGACAGCGGGCACTACTGAGGGGCAGTGGGGTCCAGCACTGAGACTTGCACATGATGGCACACCTCTGATCTTTAAGTGGATGCCAGGTGCCCTGTGTCCACCATCTGATTTGCTTTATACCTTGCAGATATCCTAGAAATCTCCTCTTGTACCTACTGAAAAATGTAATTTCGTGACAATGACAATGGCAATGATAACCACAGGCACAGACTAAATATGTGAAGCCCCCAGGATGGTCCTGGCTCTGTGCTGACTCCCAGGCCATAGGTCCTCCTGGGCACTGAGTAAGGGTCTTGTACTCCACAGCCTGGGACCCTGGTGTACGTGTACGGATACATGAGTGGCTGTCCACACTTCAGGACCCTTGTGGGTGAACACATGAGTAACTTCACGTTCACACACACAGACTCACAGGGGGTGGGAGGAATGGGACAGTTCAACATGAATGGGTATTTGGTGCTCAGCAGGGAGATACYGTGGCCCCAGGCCACCCATGGCTTGACAGTGCTGGATACCTAGAGAGCCCTGGTATGACTACAGTGGCCAGTCCCCACTGCTCCTAGGTATATCCCGTCTCTGATAATCTGAATTTGCAAACAGTCGTGGGTCATTCACCTCACGAGAGGTAAATTACTCTGAATCACAAGTGTCACATGTCCAAGTCTCATAACTCAGAAACCTCAAGAAATCGAAGCTATTTATGGAAGTAAGGCCTCTTTCCGAGAGACAGAGAGCAGCCTCTACTGCWGCCTAACTCCAGAAGTTCAACTCTGCCCCATAACCCAGAGTTGCAGGAACCAGCCAGGGTTAATCTGTAAGCCCCTGCCTCTGAGCCCAACTCCTCAGCAGGTCACCACTCGGAGCCTGGAGCTGCACTAGGAACGGTGCACTGCACTGATGGGGGTTTATGACAACCATCTGCACAGTTCTGTCTCCACCATAGGGCACACGGGCCTCAACTCCAGTTTTGATCTTAATGTGAACAAATGGACGGGAGCGTGGAACAAACCAAAAGGGCAGGTGTGTGGAAGAGATCCCCCCAACTTGTTTCTCAGTGTTTCCTAGAATCACAGCATGGAGCTGGAAAGGCCTCCTGGGAGCATCTAAGCTAACCTTCTCATTTGGCAGTTGAGACACAGCCTATGGAAGGCGGAGTGCCTCTGGCCACACCAGGTTGCCTGGAGGCTCTGTCCCCACTAGCAGCTCCCTCTGCCCTGCCCTGGTGAGAGCCTGCTCCTGAGACTGCAATGCATGCAGGTCCCCGTGTCCCCCACAGCCTCATCCACTTCTTTTCCTTCATCCAGTTTAAAGCTAAACAATGCCATTAGGATGGAACCCAGCTAAACCAAACCCTGCTMACGAAGGTCGTCTGTGCTCATAGCAGACTCACCCATCAATTCTAGAAAATCTACAGGGCAGCTAACCATGAAATGGCTTTGGCTACACTGCAGGACTGCTTCAAGGGCACTTCCATCTCCCAGAACACCATGCAAACTGTGATATTTGAGAGTTTTTAAAATAACTCCTTACAGGCAAAAATACATCTTAAACAAAGATATGTAAATAAGAACATGAGAAGGATCACTTTAAAGTTAACAGCAGGATGTCAGGGTAATAATGTCCACTCTCCACTCCGCCCAGCATAGACTTAGTGCTCAGCACATGCTAATGACAGCCAGCTTCAAGCTGTCAATGTAGCTCAGTGACAAAATTCCATTAAACTTCTGGATTGCATTGAAGCTATACTGTTGTGATAATTCATAAGACTTGAAACACATGGTTTCATGTGTTTTGCCTGAATTTTCTCCCAAGAATGAGCAAGCTTTAATTTGAGATATTTTAAAAGCAAACCTATGATGGAAAAGATGTATATAAGAGAAATACTCAAGAGTCAGCTTGGCATTTTGGATCCATACAGATTTGTCCATTGTTCAATGGTCAGCAGCAGCACATGCAGCTAATCTGCTCCTCTAACTGGGGCAGAACCATGCCAAAGCCTTTCATTGATGTTCAAGAGCAAGGATATAACACTATGAGTTAGCCTTTAGCAGGGACCATCAATCTGACCCATGTGGAATGCAAGAGATTATGCTTCAAGGGAAGCTGGGGAAACCACAATGGATGCCCCCATGAAAAGGAGTGCAATATCCCCACCCACCCCTTCCACAGCCAGAGGTGACCAGCTGCCTTGAATATGGCCAGAAGGGGAAGAGAGGAGGACAATCAGAATCGATCTCCAAGAGGCAGTATGTCTAGAATTCTAAGAGGGATCAGCAAATGTGCAGAGGGTCCAAAGGCCAGGTGGATGGGGCAGCTGGGAGAGGGACCACTTCACCCCAGCAGGGTTCCCAGTGAGAGGAGATGCAAGTTGATTCCCCAAGGGTCCCCATGAAGACCCAGCCTGACCACTGAGGGAGAAAGGGAGAGGGAGAGCTACCCAAAACAGAACAGCAAGGAGGAGAGGACTGCCCAGCAGAGAGGGTTCAGTATGGCTGAGATTTAGAAATGAGACAGAGGGCTGGGAGGCAGGTCATGAAGAGCCACCCAGAGCCAAGCTAATGACTGGACTTCACCCCAGAGCCAATGGTAAGCCAAGGTGTTGCACGCCCATGGTCTCCTTGGTGCCCCTGTGAAGCACGGGCATTGCTTGGAGAAGACYGTGTAAGAGAAGATTTATTCTTGCAGAGAGGGAGTGGGGCTGGCCCACAGATCTGAGTATGGGAGCAGAGTGCCAGGGTGGTACCTGTGCAAGGCGGAGAAGAGGCTGCTGGGGCTGAGCAGCAGCGGCCCCTGCGGCAACACCGTGCCCCTCTCGTTGACCCAGTGCAGGTAGCCCCGTGTCATGTCTGCCATCCCGATGGCACGTGCAGAACAGTAGAGAAACTTATATCCATTTCTGAAAGAGAAAAAGCACCCACATTTAATGGCAATCAGAAACGAAAGTTTCTGGCATTCCCAAACCCTCTCTGTTTCATGAAGAATGCCTTTGTTGCAAGTTCCCCACATAAGAAAGTCCACATTCTATAAAATCCTATTTTCAATTGAGAAATAAACCTAATTGCCTTTCTCTAATTTACTAAGCACATTCACATTCCTCATTAGATTTAATTCACTCGAAAAACATGCTTAGGTGGGTATTTCCCCCTGGTTTACTGCCACAGAGATGGAGGTTCAGAGGRATCAAATTGGCCAGCGTTTCTGCACACACTTGTCCCTGCTCCAGCTAGGGTCACCCATCCACTGTGCCAGGTCCAGGGCAGCCAACTGTTCGTGCATGGCCCTGCTTGGGCACACAGCTCTTCCCCTGCCCACCCTCAAATGCCCCTCTCCACTGGCTAATTCCCACCAGCATGCRATACTCTCATCCCCCACAAACACACCAAGCAGAAAACACCACTCACAAATCCTGTGTCCTTGGGCTCTCTCCAGCTAAGATCCCACTTCTCTTCCCCTTTGTGGCAGAATTCTTTCCAAAAGCTGTGCCGAGGCCCTGAGCCACCTCTTCACTCCATTCCTCTSCACCCCTGCTCTGGAGCAGGCTCTCCTTCCCCTCCCTGCTGGCCTTGCACAGGTCAGCCACGAGGCCATCTTGCTAAATTCAGGCAGTGGTTCTCAATTCTATGTGAAGAGACTTCCCAGGAGCCTCTGCCAGGTGCTCAGTCCACCCTCTAGCACAGCACCTTTGCCACTTGGCTCCCTGGACTTCAGTCCCTAGCCGGCTCCTCCCAGACATGTCACCCAGGTTACTTTCACGCCCTCTACCCACTCAAGATGCACAGTGCCCTGAGGTCCCGGGCCTCATGTCCTCTCAGCACCCTCCTCCTCCCTCCCCAGAGCTCCAAGTGCTGCATCTAAACTGAGGCAGCATGACAGTCCTCTTTTAAGCACAACGGACCTGCTTTAGTTGGACTCCACTGTTTTTAACTATTAAAAATTTAGTRGCCATAATAAAATGTGCTGTAAGTACAAAATATATGACAGTTTTGAAGTCTCACTGTAAAAGTAGAGTGCAAGATATATTCCATTAGTCATTTTCATATTGATTACATGTCTAAATGATAATCAGTTTGAATATATTACGTTAAACAAAATACTTATGAAAAAAATTTTAAAATACCATCTATACACCACCATCTCTCAAGTTCACGTTCTAGTTCAGCCCTTCTTAAGCTCCAGGGCAATATAAAAAAGCAAACAGCATGTTACTTACCAGACACACAGCAGCATCTCAAMGGTGGTCTCTCCACCACCAATGCACCCCAGTGACTCCTCCCTAGGTGGTCCCTGCCTCAGTGAGGCCTCTCATCCACCAGGTGTGAAGCCGACACCTCAGGCCCTCCTTGGTTTCCCCTTTTCCTCACCCCACCCCGTCCCCCTCCTCCCAACACCTACCCCAAGCCACGCCAGCCCCACCCCAGCACCGCATCATGGCCTCTGGGCCCCCACAGCTGCCCCAGCCTTGGCTCATTGGGCTGCTTCTCTAGGTCTTCACACGGGACCCTATGGAGACATAAAATTCAATCTGCTCCTGCTAACAACCTCCCAAGTTTTGCCATCTCTCAGATATAACCCAAGTTCTCCACCATGGCTCAAAAGGCCACAGACCCTGCCCTTCCCTCCAGCTCTGTGGGCAGCACTCTCTCATCTCTCCCATGCAGACTCGCCCGCCTGCCCGCCATTCCTTCCACCGGCCATGCTCACCTCTGGGCTGGCATAGACCCACCTGCCTGCAATACCGTCCGTCCCTTGACTTCAGGGGGAGCTTGCACTCACCTCACACAGGCCTGTCCCACCTCCATAGGGCCGTCAACCCCTGTGATGAACCCACCTCACTCCTCATCACAAGCCCCTCAAAGGAGAGGCTGGTCGGTATCCCCAGCCCCAGGTCCTGCCTTATTTTTCCTGATAGCACTTATCACTAATAAGTCACAGTCCCTCTTCCAACTGTCCCTCATATTAATCCACAAACCCCAGGAGGACAGGGACCCCTGCTGTGACCCAAGGACCAAACACGGTGCTCCGCAGTGCCACTTAGTGAATATTCGCCAAGCACATGGGTATGGGCCACCCACTCCTCTCCAACTCACAGTTGTCTTGAATGGGCCAGGGTGGCCAAGGACTGGTCTCAAGAAGTACTTCACAATATGTTTTAAACCAAGACACAGGAAAGTTTTAAGACAAAAACAAAGATCAGCTTGTTTGGAATAGAGGAACGCACCTCAAAACCAAGTAGGCTTTTGAATTAAACATCTTTGTATTTTAGTTGTCTAATTCATGCAGTCTTTTAAAATAATCACCACTTCTGCATATAGCTCTTCATATCAAAGTCCTAAAGCTGCCACCTGCAGGTGTCTGAGATGCTAATTTTATTCAAAACTTGATTTTCAGAGTCTAGCCCACTGCCAGCTGCTGTCASTACTCACGCACTCTGATTCAAAGGCTGTTACCAAACCAAACTGGAAATCAGCTTGGGGATGTCCTAATGGGGAAAATACTTATTGGTAGCAACAAGAATTTCCCTTCCAGAGCCTTTCCCAGCCTCAAGGAAAGCTATCTGAAATGCCAGCAATGCCCTCCATCAACGCTCTGGTGGCACAAGTCTATCTGGATGACGCTCTTCAGGATAAGATCCCTTACTCAGAAGGGCAACCATGTCAGGATGCACCCCTCAGGCCACCCGGCCCAGGTCTCTACACAATCCGAGGCTCTTGCCACCATCCTTTCAACCACTCTCTCTGAACCTCCAGTGTCAGCTCTGCCAGCTAGGGGCACCATGGGGCTTGGCRTGGCCCTGCCCCACGGGAGCAGAGACTGTCAGGGGTGGGGGACCAAAATTAGAGAAAAGGGACAGGTGACAAAGCAGAGGAGGGCCCAGGGTGGGAATTCCTCTGATATTCTCGGTGACTGGAACAGGACTTGGGGAAATACCAGAGCAAAGTAAGAAAAAGTGATCCAAGTCCAGGCTGATAGAAGTGGCTTTCTCCTTCTGTCCCTGTCTCCGTATCCCGAACCCGAGAGATTTCAACAGTCTCTGGGACTACACCAGACCACCAGTAGTGCTTACTAAGACTAGCTTCCAGACTGCAGCCCACAACACTGACATCTTGAGGTCAACAGAGGCCCATGCAATGCTGCGGCAGGGGTTCTCAGCAGCACCCCTGGGCTCCACCCACCAGCACACCCCACCAAGACAATCAAAACTGTCACCACACACTGCTACATGTCCCACAGGGGACAAAGACATTCTTGGTAGAGGATGACTATTGTAGGGGAAAAGGGACCCTGGGGCGTCATTTGCAATCTGAAGAAGGACAGCCCCCCGCACCCAGTCCCTTAAGGAAGGCTCTGGATCAAAGCCGCTGGCCTTAACCTGGTCTACTGAACCCTGTGATCTGCTCCCCACCTCCTTCCCTGTTCCCCCTTTCACACCCCTTTCCTGGGCACCATGAGGCCACTGGGCAACAGCTCATCTGCCACCTCTACTCTTGTTCCTACATCCACTTACAATGACCTGTCATCTCCTTCGAAACCCTGCTGCCACCTTCTCACTGAAACCTCCTGTGACATCTTTAGTGTCCCCTTCACCGTGTCCTTCAAAGACAGCATCCCAGTGTCCTGATCACTCACCACCTTTCTACAAGGAGCTCCATAGGCTTCCTCCTTCCTCATCACAAGCTCCTCAAAGGAGAGGTGGTCAGTATCCCTGCAGCCCCAGAGTAGCTCCCAGTACACAGCAGGTGCACAAATCAGGGCCCAGGGGGACGGCCCCCAGGGCACAGCAAGTGYGCAGTCTAGCTAGGTGCCTCCCAGTTCTGGCAGAGGCCGGGCTGAGAAAGTCCCCCAGCTGCAGCCCACATGCACACACTTCAGCAGCAGAGCACAGCATGGATGGCGATGGCCTAAGGGGTCATCTGGCCTAACCTCGTTTTACAGAGGAGGAAACCAAAGCTCAGAATGGGACACATGCTCCCACTCTAGTTTAAGGGCCTCAGGTAAGGCACAGTTGTCGCTGCTGGAATCCAGCCCTGCTGACTGACWGACAGACCTTTATTCCCCACCAGCCTCCCTTCCTGGCAGAGAGTGACCCTGCAGTAAACCAAGAGCTGAGGTGAAAGAAGTGACTGCTGTGGGCAGGAGACGGGAAAACCCCCAATGAGTCTGCTCATGGTTACCCCTCCTTTGACATGCTGGCCTGAGGTGGCATGTTCCTTAAGCCACAGATAAACAAATTTGTCCACGGAAACACAAGAATTCATTCTTGCCGAGTCATAGAGACACTGACTCCAGGTAACRTGGATATAAAAATACACATCAACTAAGGTAGAAAATTAGAGCAATCATTCTTCAAAATTAGGTTCCCAAAAACCTATTCGCTCAATGGTCTCAATATTTTAGGAAATAGTCCTTCTTTATGCTCCTTCTAATTATTGAATGTATTTGAATCTGAGGGAGCTTCATTTATCTTCCATTTATATTTGCTACAGTTCTCTTTCAACACTAACTAAGCAAGGTTTATACCCTTCCTATGAATGAGATGATAATCAGACTCACAGATAATTCCTCAGGACTAACCATATTTAAACAAGTAATTAAATTCAGCAAAAAATAAATAAATAAAGTTGTCCTTATTTTCTGTAATTTCTAGGCAAGTAGCTCACTGCAAGACTGGTTTATTCATTAGGCAAATACTGCAGTGAATAAAATTTAAGTGGTACCCAAATTCAATGGCARCAATGTCAGAAAAGAGATTAATGAGTCCAAAACTCCTACACTAAATGGCACCTTTCTCCTGGTGTTCCAGCATGCTGAACATTTCTCTTAAGTATTTCTCTGGGTAATCACAATAAAATCTCAAAAGAATGGCCTGGACTAACTGGACAGGCGCTCTAGGAGCCCTRGTCAGCTTGGTCCTGCCTCTGCTCCCAGCTGTGGCTGTCTGAAACGTGCACGGGGCCTGGCTTGTGAGACTGTCTGGACAGGAATCCACTTTAGCTGACGGTTAGCTCCAGATGCCTTACACTGTGACAAGCCTGGTGCCCCACAATGGGGACTGTAGCCAACAATCTAGGCCCACGCCCCTGGACACCAGGGAAGAGCTGCAAAGCCAGGGAAGGCAGGAGCTGACAGCTGGCCAGGGTCACGGGTTCTGGCCTGGAAACATATCATGAAGACTRTGGCATGTGAGACAGACAGTAAAGGCTGGAAAAATGTTGAAAGGCAAAAATCAGAGGTAAAGACACGTTAAGCAAAAGCTATTGCGAGAGCAAAGGCAAGAAGACAGAAAAGGAGCAGAGTCGGGAACACAGCACATCAGAGCACAAAGGTCCAAGAGCAGCAGGAAAGGAGGAGTGATCATGAGGCTGGGAAACTGCTGGGAAGCATGAGCCTGAGCACTTCCTCTGGTAGGTGCTGGTGTGGCGCCCCTGCAGACCCATACACTGCCCCAGGAGCCCCAGTCAGCACTGCAAATCCCACAGCCTGACTGTCCTTGGGCACCACAGACAGCACACACCAAACTCAATGAGCAAACTGACATCAGACCACATGTCATGACACTCCAGCCACTCGACCAAAATGACGACTAAGAAGAATTCTGCAGCATCCTCAGATCCCAACAGAGTTTATTCTTTCTAAACTTTCAAAGAAAAGGACCATCCAGTGACTTTGGGAAGCCACGAGACTTTATTTTTTAAGATATTACTTCAGGAAAATCCAAGAGAGAGATAAATCAAGACCAAAAGGGGCGGGAGGTAGAAAGAAATGTGGCCCTTTTCTAATGTCACTAAAAAGACAGAAATAGATTTATGCTCCAATACTCAAAATGAATCAGGCTATGAAGAACTCAACATCCTRACCCAGGAAGGCATCTTCCTTAAACCAAAAATAAATGCAACTCTAAGTGTCACACTAGCCAAGGGGCAGATCAATCCTCCTGAGTGAAAAGCCAGCCATGGAGGGCTGTGGGGAAGGGGTGCACACAACATCTATAAGAGTGCAGGCTGGGGGCAACCACGTGCAGTTCAGGGGAAGAACACCACGTCTAGTTCTCCCGCAGGACTTGCTAAGGTTCACGCCTCCTTTACTCATTCACACACACATTATAAGTAGAATACCAAAATATGTAAATACTTGTGGCATCACTTTTGGAAATAGTAAAAAAGACTGTCTACATGTTCATCAACAGAGTTATGGGTTAAATAAAGCAGGGTATACCGGTAAGAGAATTTTGTGAAGCAGCTAAAAAGAATAAGGTAATCTTCATATGCAACAAAACCAAAAGATATGACAGACAGTTAAACATCATGAGGACATATGAGGGTAGAATGGATTTTTTTCTTTCTTTTTTTTTTTTTTTTTTAGTAAGTACAACAGCAAGATAGAACAGGTTGTCCACAGTATTTCTGGGAACAATTCACTAGCGGGTAGGGTAGGGAGGAGGCAGCTATAACCTTTACCTTGGAACTTTTAAAATTTCTGTAATCTGGATCTTTAGAAATCTTTTTAAAGAAGCATGCTTTACTCTTGTAAATTTTTAAAGATGAAATCTAGAAAGGGTTAAACCACTAGGCTGGGCATCTAAGAAGAAATCTGAATCTTGCAATCCACCAGATCCTCCACTGCAGGATCATAAGGTCCTGGAGTAAGTGACTGGCTGGTGCATGATGACCCCAACCATTTGCCACAGGACAGAGCACTCACAGGCACTCCATGAATGTTGCATAAATGGAAGAATATGGGGCAGGGAAGACTATTTATTTGTCTGTGTGCAAAATTCCAGAAAGACCTCTGTCCAGCTAAACAACTCCCCACACCTCAACACCACCCATGTGGATCAGAGGTAAGCACATCAGGTTGGGAACACCGGACCTGAGATGCCCATCCGGACACTAAATATGTGATGTCCTCGACTTGCTCACCCATGGAAGACAAGGCTCTCCTGACTCAGACACACCTCCAGCTCTCATTGGATGGAGAACAGAAGACACCAGAGGGAGAGGTGTTGGAGACTCTAGTCCACAGAAAGCTAGAGAAGGTGTAACTATGTGGATCAGAGGCRAAGTCCAGCAAGCCAGGATGGCAGGTGGAGAATCACTGAAGGGCTCCAACCCCTGGAGGCAAGCAGAGCAGAAGCTGTGGCCTTGGAGCCAGGCAACCAGGGTTTGAATGAGTCCTGCCCATTAGCAGCTACAGGATTTGGACAAATAATTTGAACTTTTCAAGTTAATTCCCCTTATACTCACACAGAAATGATATTACTTGCTTTTCAGAATTACTATAAGATCAAGGGAAGCAACACAAGTGCCCCACACGATGGCAGTTTGAGAACCAGTCACCACTTGACATCCCAGGTGTAGGCCCCAGCAGTGAGCACTGCCATCCCACTCACTGCGCACTCCACAGACCAGGTGGACACGGAGCGCACTGCAAGCTGACTTTCAGGACCAGCACCTCATCTAAAATTTGCATGGAGTCTGCAACTTTTTAGACCAGAGGTGATCGCTTGGCACACATAAGCCTATCCTTTTGACTTTCCCTGGTTGAATCGAACCCCAGTCCCTCAGCTAACACTGCCACCCCACCTTCTTCTTTCTCCTAGCAATTTTTGACTCACCTACACTTTCTTTCTTGCTTCGTGGTCCTGACCCAAGTATGGAACTGTCAGGACTCTCTGTGCAACTTAGGATTCTCCACCCCCACTCTCCACTCCCACTGCCCCTTCTTGGGTTAGGTCCCCCATCTCCATAAGTCACCCCATGCCTGGCAGGAAAGACTGAGTTCAGAACGGTGCATGTGCCAGCGGTGCCAGGAAATAGGAGACGAGCACTCTGTACTTACTGGCTCACTTTATGGTACAACTTCGCAATGCCCTGGTGGGTCCAATCCTTCCCGAGGGTGGGCAAAATGTGGCCAAGGGTATCTGATCTAAATAAAGACAACGATGAGAAAAATAACAAGGTAACTACAAAGGGATTTTTAAAACCTATTCAAATTCAACACACCATTCATACTTCAATAAAAAATATGAACAAGACCCAGGACACTGTGGATACAAAGCCCAAGACTCAAGTCATCAAGTAGACTCTGGTCAGAACGGGGTATGAGCCACAGAGGGCGCCTTCAGTCTGACCACAGGCCAAGAGCTAGGCTTGCTAAATTCAAGTGAAGAGGCGCTGACCATTCCACAGAGGCCTTCTCCAAAAGCATCCGGGTCAGCAACCAAGGCAGAAAGATGGCACCCCAGGGAAAACCAYCCCCAGGCCATGAAAGACAGCTGYTGAGGCCCAGGGGCTGAACTCTGGAGTCCCACCAGGCTCCCGAGGAGGAGCATGAAGTCCATCTGGAGACCAGGCTCCCACACTGAAGTCGTCTTACCTCGTGATGGTGCCGTCAATATCAGAAATGACGACTTTATCATCCCAGTTCCACAGATAGATGGTGCCTTCACAGCGACAGGTGCCTTGATACTGTGTGGTGACACTGAAAACCACGTCATTGGGGCCATTCTTCAACTTCAAGCTTTTCTGAAAAATATGAATAACTGYGTCTGCTTGAGAGAAGGCCCAGGGTGAGGGACATGGGCCTCTGTCTATGAGAAGGAAGCCAAAGTTCCAAAAGCAATCACAGCCCTGGGCCACCGTGAAGTTCCTCTYCTGCTGCTTGTTCTTGGTCTTTCTGGGACTGGACAGGCAACCTGAATCTCAGCTCCCAGGCCACACCCAGCRCAGCATCACCCACTTCCCGTAAGTATCCTGCTTCCAAGGGTAATTCTGACATGATCCAGTGTTTCTGGACAGGGCTACATGACAGGCCATGAGCCTTGGCAAGATAAACTGTAGTTACAGAAGAGACATGTGAAGGTCCTGATATGGAGACACAAATCTAAACCAAATGTGAAAATGTTCCCTAAATAACCATGTTTTTCATGCTTATTTAAAATGTGTTTTTAATAGTTATTTTACTGACACAAATTAGAAAAAAGAAGGCTCAGTTATCAGTCATTATCAGCCACAGAATATAGTGGTGACCTAAAGAAATCATACTGAATTCAGAAAGTAAAATGACTTTTGGGGAGTTCTGAGTCTCTTTGCTGGGATGTTCTGGTGCATGCTAGCTGACTGCACAGACCCACAGGGCTGACTCCAGGTGTCCCCCAGATTGCTGGCAGGAGCCTATGTCACACAGTAACTTGCAGGCCACAGGACCTCATCCATGGCTAACATGGGTACCAGGGCCTGAACTTTTCCCATTAAATACCATAACTAAGACTGCTCCCCACTAAGTCAAATGCAAAAGACTCCATTTGCAAAATAGCAGGGATATTTGCTCTCTGAATGGTCATGGTTTGAAATAGGATACAAGGACAGAAGGGGCCTGATTAAAGCTGGGCTACACACACACACACACACACACACACACACACACACACACACACACACTTTCTCACAACACTATAACCAGATGATGCCCTTGCTACCTCATGTTCTCCCCATCCCATCGCCTCTCCTAGATTTCCACCAATTTAAGAGATGCATTTGTGTTAACAAACATCTCTCTTAAGCACCCTGAGAGATTTTCAGAAGTCTATTAGTCACTGATGTCTTGGGATAAGGGAGCTCAATCAGGGTGCCTTCTATTGGGTCAGGAAAAAGGGGAACTTGAGGGAAGTCACGAGGGGGCCCACCTCAACAGGTGTCGGCRTGGAAATACGCGGAGTCTGGGTGGAAATACGCAGTATCCAAATGAGGGGTGTGATGCTGCCAGAGGGCAGCAGGTGCACTGGGGCAGGAAGGGTGCCACAAAGTACAAGTGGGAGGAGCATCCAAGCCTTCATGCAACCCCAAAGTCTGTACAACCATGGCCCCCGAGGACTTGGAGACACAGCCACACTGAGTCCGGGAGACTCACCAGCTGCTCCGATGTGAGCCGGAGAGTCTTTTTGTAGCTGACGTTAGACAAAAGAGGGAGGTGGCTCACACTGGAAGGCTTGGCAGCTGCATGCTCTTCGTCACTGGAGGATGATTCGTGCTTTATTCTGGAACACAGTGATGTAATCACAAATTAGAAAATGCATCTGGGCAGCCATTAAAAATGCATTAGCCTAAGTCGATAACTCAGTCAATTGGGTCTCTCCGGAGAACTGTCTCCTGGGTGGTCATTTACCATATGGCATTAAATTTATCAATGAAYCCTCGCTGCACCCCCCCATTCATGCAGCTCCTGCATTATTCATGCGGGGGTCACACTGCTCATTCACTTGCCTACTTTCCAGCCGACACCACTCCCTCTCCACCAGCACATGTTCACTCCTAATCAGTAGGGTCAAATCCCTCCCGACCTAGGGACRCTGACACTCTTTTGCCTCTCTTCTCCTCCCATCTGAGGGGCAGGCCAAGCCCTAAGAGTCCAAATTGYACAAGTTCAACCTCATCTGTTCTCTGTATCTACCTCTCCAAATAYGAGTCTACACAATTAGGGCACTTCCAGGAGCTCTAAACAAGGGCCAGTGTAACAGGGAAGGCAGGCCAGTTCTGCCCTGCAGGACCCCATGGGTCACCACACAAGCTGCCAGAATTCACAGCCAACACCCCCACTTTGCCACACCCTCCTGTTGAGGGTGGGGGAGGGGGTCAGAGGAGCAGGGAAGAAATCAGTTTATAGAAGTCCCTTCCCTTCTAACATCGATGGATCCTGTGGACAAACCGGCTCTGCCCAGCCAATAACCTGGAGGCTCTCCAGCGCGGTACACTCAGTCCTGGAGTCAGCCAGGCCTGACAGACGTCCTCGTCAGCAGCAGGAGGACAAGGCTACGGGCCCTTACTGACAAGGAAAATGTTTATGTTCCAACCAAACAGTTTGGACTGAAATGAGATCCAAATGTGAATGGAAGCTCTTGGTGAAAACAGATTGATGTGTGCCTCTGCCGGGAGGAGGAAGCCGCAAGGGGAAGAGCTGTGATTTCCATCTGCTGCTTTAAAAAAAAGCCACAAATTCACGCAGCATACCATGTTTGAAGGAACATGGAGAGGAAAACACAGACACGAAGCCTAACGGGAGTTGTACAGTTGGCTGCCGGCACTGCCAGCCCAGGGCGAGGAGACGGTGGTTTACAGCTGCCGCCTTCCGGCCCTCGCCACCCTTTGCCACCCCGCAAGGAACAAAATGCCTCCCATTCAGAGTCCCCACTCCCCTCCGGCAACGGCTCATTAAATGTCGCTTGCGCTATGGAGCCTGCAAGCAGCAGCACAATATAACAGGCTCCCACCACTTGGAAATCTGTGCTCGGAAGAGAGGCTGGGAACGGCCTCAGAGTCAGCCCTCGTCACAGCATACATTTTTCAAATGGTGTTTTAATTAGTTGTATGGTGACAAGCTGTTTGCTCAATTATGGGACTTTGGGGACTGTTCTGTCAATCAAGTCTGTCAATTAGGAAATCATTCCAACGCCTTTTTTTAAGTTATCTGCATGAATCTAATAAGCAGACTAAAAGTCTAAGATGCCAGTATAAAGTAAAAGACTCATATTTCTCAAGAGAACTTTAGTCTTACTTCTTCTGAAATCTCAATTCATTGCACAAGAGTTAGAACTTTTCAGGTTTGATAAAGAAATGTTTTGACTAATTCAGAACGATGAAAGGTCCAACCTCGTCTACATAAAGGGAACAGCATTTCTCGTCAACAGGTAAGTGTGACTGCGTCAGACAGTGAGGAGAGCCGTCACAGCTCAAGGAACTACAAGCTGATGACAACCGACAACCCAACTGGGAAGAGCTACTGAAGTGTCCTGATGGCCCGCCACCCTCTGCCTGCCCAGTGTCCTCCTGGGGTGGTCCACACCACAGCCAGAAAGGGCAAAAACTGCAGTGGTGACAACAGTGGGGCCTCTGCCAGTGGCTGTCCCCACCGGTCCCTTCTAACTCAATCCAGGATGGGTCTGGCTCACGGGTGGCACCACAAGAGAGTGGAAACTGCATGGCTCTAGACAGATACACACCCCTCAGGTGACCACAGGCTGGACCAGGGGCTTGTGTATTCTGGTCACCTTGTCACGAAGCTATCATGAGTGAGCATTAGTGAGTAGGAAGAAGGCAGGTGCTGGGGTCGTGAGCGCTGAGTGGGGGGCCTGGAGGGAGAGGCAGGTGCTGGGCCCACTCTTACCCACTCCACAAATGGAGATGCTRAGAGGTGGGTATTCATGTGGCAGAAGGACGGCTCAGAGGCTGACAACGCCCTGCTTCAAATCCTACTCTGGTAGCTTGGTATTTAGAAACCGTTAGAGGGACAGAGGGGGCTCCTGAGAATTCCAGGAAAACAGGGCATTTCCCGTACAGCGAACCCTCGGGTTCAAGTGCTTACATCATGCAGCTTAGTACCCTTGCTTGTGTCCTCTCTTTGAAGGCCGCCACCCCCTGCGCCGTCTCCTCCCAGCCCATGTGGGCATCAACCCCCCACTGGCGCCTTTGCTCAGATACATGAAGTACTCTGCCTGAGGCCACGCGTGAGCCAGGATTCCTAACCAGATCCACCCGACTYCAGAGGCTGCTGTCCCTGCTGGTCTTCCACAAGAGGAGCCACTTGCTGAAGATCTCCTGGCTTCTCTCCCGGTACTGGACACACCCCTTCTAAGGACAGCCATGCTCTGCCRGGGCTCCGTCCTGAACACACCTGCCTTCACCCTTCCAAGCTCGCTCTGAGCCAAACTCAAAATTCCTGGAAAGCAACCAAATCATTGTGCCTGAGAGCCTGTCCCCAGGGAAAGAGCCAGAGACAGAGGGTGAGGGGAACAAACAGCAGCCCCCACACCCCAAGCCTAACACTAGGGTCTGGCTGAGTCACAGGAAGGCACAGAGCAGCAGAGTCCAGGTGGAAACGTACCACCGCTTGGGGTGCCACCAAAAAAAAAAAAAGAAAAAAACAGCAGTTTCCCTTCAAGAACATCCCAGCCAGATGAGTCCAGTCCCTGGACAGTCACATCCAAAAACAGTTGTCCCTGGTCCTGAGGAGTACTCTACCCACCTTGTCCTTCTCCACAGAGAAYAAGGAAATTAGCACATTCCCTGCTTGTCACCAACATGGCTTCCCACTTCCAGCAAATAATTCCAGAAAGAGAATTCTCTGTTTAAGACACTGACAAGAGGTCAGGACAGAGGACAGAAATCTAAGCCTGCTTCTCCCATAAACYGACCGACACACAGGGAAATCCCATCAGTGCAGCAGCATCCATAACAGGCCTACTCCAGGCAGGCACTGGCTGGCCTCCAAGGATGTGCCCACAGCTCATCTCTACCCACAGAACAAGAAATGCAGTCTGGGTTTCTCACACACAGAAAGGCTGCAAGGTGAAGTAAAAGGGATACTACCAATGTGGACCCCCTAGTATCAGCATGTCGATGTGGTCTGCCTCAAATTCCTACAAAGCTTAAGATGAACACARAACATCACTAACTGTGACCAGCAGTGTTAAAACCTAATCTCTCCTTTGTAAGTTAATAGGAATCAGCACATATTTAAACTGTACAGAAAGGGAAATCCTTCAAAAGGAACTTATTTTCCCATCACCGTGAATGCCCACCCGCCATCACCATCACCACATCACCATGGTGATGTTGGAGGACCACCACATGCAGGGCCATGAGCAATGCTCTGGTTCTGTTGTCTCATCTCAGGGTCACGTTGACCTTGCAAAGACTAACGGGAAAACCAATCTACATAATTGTCACTGAGGGCATCATAGAACTGGGCTGAGACCAAGGTGCAAGGCTTGAGCCGCTGTGAAGCCTTCAGCGTCCATGCGCATGTGCACAGCCCTGGGTATGGAAAGAAGTGGCCACACCCCAACAGGGCACCYGCCTGTACCTGGTGGCCATGCTCAGCTGTGACGGCTGCTCTCCAGTGCTGTGGCCCTTTCCAGCCAAGCACTGCTCGGGCTTACTCTCCTGGAGAAGAAGAAAAGAAAGTCAAGAAAAACCTCTTGCACTAAAGCTCACATTCTGCCATGGGCTCCCCAAGGACAGGCAGACCCCCAAGGTGGCCCTTCCCAAGGGCACACACCCAGGGATGGCCCAGGAGGCTCTGGGTGTTTTCATTTGGGCAGGTCCCAGTTACTCCCTTGCTTATATGATTAAGCTGAGAAATATTTTTGACAGAAATGAGTGTTATCCATAAGTGTTCATGGCACGAAACCAAACTCCATCATTGCCTCAGCGTATGCAAACGCTTTTATCAAGGGCTGCTTGGATTCCTGTGGGCTTTCAAAATATTTGCTTTAAACTGCCAATAGAAATGCTTGAAAACGTTTTCACACCATATTTTGCTTGGGGAAAATGTTGAAGCATCTTTCTCTCTTTCAGTACTACAGTCTTAATAGGAAATGTTCCTGGGGTATATTGGGGAGAGCCTTAGATCTCTAAGAAAACTCCAGGCCCCAGGCTTTTTCTCTCACTTCTTTTGGGGCAAGTCATGGAACTTCTCAGAGCCTCATTTCCCCATCTGTGAAACGGGTGAGGTCACTGAGGCCCAGCACTGCAGTGAAGACGGAGAGACACGCTGTATACACAGCATCAACCCCGATGATGGGCAGACACCAGCCCCGGAGACTTCCCACCAAGTCAGATGGGGCCAGACAGACATGCCAGGGCACACAGTGAGACCTCTTTATCTGTGGTCCTCTGGCTAGGAGGCAAGTTAATACTTCCACTGCAGCACTTTAATAAAGAAAAGGAACAACACAAACCCCATCACCAGATACCCTTCCCCACATATAATGCATATAAACTTGTTTTAAATACTTGTTAATTTTTATATGAATACACAAAAAAACTGACATAATATACCCAGTTATTTTTTAAGGAAACTTTGCCACTACTACTAACAATTTTTATTTTGTTTACTTGTGTTAAATAAGTATATTTCTGCTTTTTTTTTAGAAAGGTTTAATCCAATAAATGCTCCTTACTTCATATTAGCATTCCCTCAATCACAATCAGTAGAAACAGATAAAATAAAGAGGTCTTTAAAACATTCTTCTGTCTTAAACTCTAGAATATTCTGCCCAGGACTGCAGATGTAGTTCAAAAAAGTATTTGCTTGACGTGCATAAAGCTCTGGGTTAGATCCCCAGCACCATGAAAAATAAGTAAATACACAAAATAGAACATTCTGCCCTCTAGTAAGAAAACTGGAAAGCCCTTCACACTTCTRATTCCCCATGGGAAAGCATGTATTTGCTCTAGCTTGTTTGTAGACCTCAGAAGTAAAGGGACTCACAATAAAACTCAGATGTGCTAACAGAAAATGTCAAAGAGCACCTCAATCTGGATAAAACTCTTCAATAGAACTTTTGCCTTTGAACAAATGGTACATTGAGTCCAATGGGTTTTCTTTCACTAGTTAAATAATATCATGATCACTACACACTGCATTCCAAAGGTGATCATCATTCCCTCAACAATTACTACCAAAGCCCCAGTCCAATGTGGGCTCCAGGACTGCACCCCAGAGTCAAAGTTATGCATGGCCTCTCCCTTCATGGAGCTTAGGGTCTACCAGGAAAAAGACATGCTATTCAACAGTCAGACTACTAAGTGTATAATTATAAACTCTGATGCAATTTATGAAGGAAAATCTCATAGGCAAGGCTGCGAGAACAGAGAATGGCAGAACACATTAATCTGCCAAGCGGAACTTGATCAGCTGGTTAAATAATAGCAAGGGAGTGTTGAGGGTCCTATATTCTCTGGGCAGAGAAAATAATCGGTGCAGAAACCCTGGGGTAGACCATTTACTTTTAGCAGTTCTATTAAAGCACAGAAGGCAGGAGGAGAATGATAAAGATAAGGCTGATGATCGAGACAGAAGAAGTAAAGTATGTGGGTCTGGAAACCTCAGTCTATAAGCAGGGAGCAACATCAACTGGACCATTATCCAAACTAGAACGATCCAGCTACAGGACAGAGAACCAAGAAGTGGGGGCGGGAACAGCTACACAGACCATTTGAGAGATGACAGCAGTTGAGACTTATGGGGTGGAGCTGCAGAGAAATGGATAAACAGGAGAGGCATTTATGATGGTAAGCCAAAGGGATCGAAAGGGGAGTGAGAGAAGGGAAGCACCTGGCCCATGAACAAACAGTGACACCATTTTCTATCTGTGGCTCCAACGAAGGAAAGAGCTCTCTAGCRTACTAGGAATTCCATTTTAGAAATGAGTCTAAATGCCTTGAAGCTCCCCCRTGGAGGTGTCTGTCTGGTTGGCCACTTATGAACAATCCAGGAGAGACAAGGCACGCCTGGCCGGGAGATGAAGATGGGTCTCCAGATGCAGGGATGGAGGGCCAGGGAAAGCAGGGGCTATAAGCAGAGGAGAGGCCCGGGGACTAATCTTGAGGACCTTCAGAGAGGGCCAGCCGGGGGGAAGCCACTGGATGGGGAGGAAAGCCAGGCCACCCAGCCAGGGCCAGCGCATAAGTGCCCACGAGACAGCTGAAAGCTGGACGCAAAGGATGGCAGACGTGGAGGGAAACCAGAGCTGCGTCACCTAGACAGCCACCTCAGGGGACAGATGGAGAGAACCAGGTCACTGTTCTGAGAGCACAAGAGGAAGGAAGGTACCGAAGTTTCTTAATTAAATTCTCACATTGAAACCCTTTTTACAGATTGGACATGAGGTTTCTGTGAAAGAACAGACTCTCCCAAGATGACCAGACGGGGCCTGAACAACTGGAAGGAGGAATGTTCTACTTACTGATGGAGGAAAGACCACAGGTGGATCAGACAGAGGGGAGTCAAAAACTCCACAATGAACCTGTTAAATCTGGGGCATCCATAAGACATACCTGAGTGGAGAAGTAACAGGGCAGCTGGTGTGCAAATGTGGAGCTCRGGGAAAGAGTCCCACTGGAGACGAGTCTGCACACGCCAGCGGGGAGACGGCATGTAAAATGAAACCGCCTTGGGGCTGGGGATGCGGCTCAGTGGCAGAGCTCCTGCCTGGCAYGGGCAAGGCTCTCGGTTCAGTCCTAGCACCACAAAAAGAGCCAATCGGAAGAAATCAGCAAGGCAATGGATCTCTCTGGAGAGCAGGTGCAGGGACAAGGGCTGAGGTACACCATGCCCCCAGCAGGGAGCGACCTGACCAGGCTCCTACCTGACAGGTGACAGATGCAGATGGGAACCGCCTCTGCTCATTCCTCACCCTCTGTCCCACCCTCCCCACACCCCGAATGGCAGAGGCCGTTTTGCTTTCTGTGCTTACCTCTTTGATCGTGGTGTTTCTTCCCCTCCAAGAAAACCACCATCTTCCTCCCTTTTTGGGCATCTTATCCCTCATGATAGATTCCACAGTGGCCTGTTTTAAATGGATGGTGACATAAATAATGGAACCAAAAAAAGATCAACTTAGCAATTTCAAACCAAAAGAAACAGACATGCAAATTAAAGAAAGATTTWWAAAAAAAAGTCAGAGAGAGAACAACATACTAATTGTGAATTAAGAATTTTAGAGAAGCAAAACCTAATGGTGTCCAAAATTTCATGAAGGTAACTTAAGCATGAAGACTTAAGAGGATGTTAAAGAAAAAACAAACAACAAATAAAATACAACACAACAACAACAACAAAAAAGAAAGCATTAAAAAATCATTAGTGATTAGTAAGACCAGAAGTTTTCAAACTAAAGTGGCTAATTGATCAAGATACTTTACGTTCAATATGATGATTATAAAATAAAACATGAAATGATTAATATGGTACAGGATAAAATGATCTTAAACAAAAGGAAAAATCCCACRACTTTTTAGTACATGTCAGTTTCCAAATTCTGACAAACTGAACTTAGATGCAAATGATTTAAAATCTCAAGTACTACAAAGAAAATTCACATTGACACCCTAAATACATGGAAGTTTGATGGGGAAGATTAAATACGAATTAAAAATCTTCTAAGTATTTCCAAATAACAGTATCTTAAGGCTAATTCCAMGACCCAAGTAAATGTTATCTCCCTTCCCTTCCTCGGTTTATAGAATTTTGAAGTAGCTGAGACCTTAGCTAAAAACATGGAAAGATGATCTGAGGTCCTTCAGCCCAGCAGGAAGCAGCCAAGTGGAAAGGGAATAATCCACAGGGTTGGCCTGAAGTCTGCTACTTTTYGCTGTCTAAAAGATCCTGCTCTGACCCCAAAGAAGCCCTGATATACCAAGATGTAAGTCATACATACATCAGTCATGAAAATGATAATGCATAAAGACATCAATACCCTGTCCCTCCAAACTCACCCATAAATATAACAAACCTCCAACTGGGGAGAAAAAAAAAAAGAAAAAGAAACTAACAGTGTGATGCTTCAGATGCAGACACACTGATTCTAAATTTCATTTGAAAACAAACAAAAATATCCAAGAAAACACTTATAAGTAGAAAAATGAGGCACAGCCCTCCAGGCTATTAAAATGTATTTGAAAGCTACAGTAATTTAAAAACACAGTGCTGATCCATAAGTAAATACATCACTGGAACAGGAAACCTAAAATTCAGAGTTAGCAATAAATTTAAGTGCATAGAGAAACTGAGTGTGATGGAGTTGTGACTGCCAATCAGAGGGGGAAGGTTATTTAATAAATGATATCAAAATAATTCAGCTGCCTTGTCAGACCCTGGAAGCTTGATTTCAGAGAAGAAATCAAGTCTCAAACCAGCCTCCCCTTTCTTTCCTGGCAAAGGATCCAAAACTCGATACTCAAGAACCAGGCTGCCATGAAGCACTGGGGAGGCGGAGACGATGGCAGCCACCCCAGGTCCCCCAGGCGAGTTCTGGAGGATGGACCCTGACCGGCTGTGCCTTTCCAGTCACTCCACCACCTGCAACACTGGCCTTGGGGGTGCTGGAGCCTGGGCCAGTGAGACACGAGGAAGCCGCCCACCCTCCCCKCTGTGGGTGCTGCTGTGTAAGGAAAGTACACAGCAATCATCCCGTGACGGCAAAGGAAAAGCCAGGGACATCAGAGAAGAAATCAAGTCCCAAACCAGAACATCTAAGACTCTCATTATGATAAGAATTATTATCATAATAAACCCACATGATTTAGGCCACTTTTAGTCACTGTGCTTTCTAAATGAAAAGTATCCTGATCCAGTAACCACTTGGGAAAAAAATTGGTTTGGTTCCCAAAACCTCCCTCATTCCTCTCAAAATAAAATATAGATGGGTCAAAGATTTAAAATAAAGTACTAAAAGAAAATACAGAACCATATGTCACTAGTTTTGGAAATGGGGAAGGCAGACCATTCCAACTGATACAAATCCCCGCAGCCATCAAAGATAAACTCTGCAAGTCAAAAAATCTACTGCCTAAACCTGTTCAGTGTTCATATCACATATCACAGGACTAATTTAAGTTTTACAGCCATGTGTATTTATTTTCCTGTAAATTAAATTAATTAACTATATTTCTATTGCATTGGTCTTTTTTTCTCAAAAATTTGCAAAACTTGAGAAATTTAACATAAAAATTTATCCCAGGCCATGGATACCTTGAGAAATCTGGCAAGGACAACATAAAAACCACTCTGTTGATCATGCCTCAGAGTCCACAAACACACACACACACATGTGCACAAATACACCACCACACACACGTACATAAACACATGTGCATGCACATGTGTACACACATATGCACACACATGCAAGTGTGCACGTATACACAGGTATTGCACACATGCACACACATGCATGTACATATGCATGCACACCACCATGCACACACCTCCATCCACGCATTCATGTACATGTGTGTGCACTCACATGCACACGTGTGCGCCATGCATATATGCACACACAGTATGCACACGTACATACCAATATGCACACTCATATGTTCACATACACACATGTACAAGCATATACACAGGTACACATATAAGCCTATGCACACACAAACATGTGTATGCTCACRCATGCAKACACATGCACACATACAAGTACACATATGTACGTGTACAGATGTACATACCTGCACACATGCATGCACATATACATGCATGCATGTACACATGCATGCACACATGCACATATAGAGAGATGTGCATATACACACAYGCACACACATTGAAGGAGCAGCACAGACTCAACAGTAGGATTTGACCTCCAGGACCTCCAGCATTAGAACTTTTAGACTACAACAGCTCGGCCCCATCGAGCACTTGCTAAGTGTACCGAGGATACGAACAAGTCTAAGATGGCATCTTACACAAAAACAAAGTATAATTCAGTAGGCAGACGTAACATTGAAAAAATTCACAACTTCAGGCCAAGTGTCCAGTGGGCTTCCCGGGGCAGGCTGAGCACACCATGGGCTCACAGGTGGGATCTGCCCTCCTAACTGGATCCTTTCCTGCAGGACTCACCTACTGTCACATGCAGGCTGCGAGCTGCCAGATCCTGGGGGGCTCTGGCCCTGCAGACCTGGGTCTGATACTCTGCCTCCCTGCCTACTGCCACCCACCCTCACACGGCTCTGCCCACTGACCACCATATGCTCCTTCCTACCCATCATCCTCGTCTGCACTGCCACAGTGGGAGATCTGCCGTGTAAAGAGTAGGAAGGTGTTCAGGGTGCAAAAGGGACACCTGGCCTGCTCCCAGACTTCAGGAAAGCACAACATAACTATCAGTGAGGGTCTAAAATAAATGTTCCATATCAACCCCACCCCACCCCCACAACACAGCCATCACTTAGTGCCCCATTTCTTTGTCGGGTTACAGCTCACCTTTGGCAAAGGTTTCTGGAAGGCCTGCATTGCCAGCAGTAGAGGTGCTGCCGTCGTCCAGTTATAATATCTAACAAAACAATGAGAAAGTTGTCACTAGACCATTGCCCAAACCTAAAGTCTTTTTTTTCTTTGGTACTGGGGATTAAACCCAAGCGCACTGCACCACTGAGCTACATCTATAGCCCTTCTTATTTTTTGAGACAGGATCTCACTAAGTTGCTCAGGCTGTCCTTAAATTTACAATCCTCCTGCCTCAGCCTCCCAAATTGCTGGGATTATAGGCAGATACCACCACACCCAGCTATCATCATGCCAAGTGATGATAACTTTCCATGGAAAGTTCTGGAATGCCAGTGAGCCTTCAAGGAGCTCAATACTGCTGCTCCCTTCCTGTCCTCTCCATAGACCCCAGCCACACTGGCCAGCAAGGGGCCCAGCTGCAATCATGGCAGCAGGATAAAACCTAGACCTGATGTCAATGACACTGCCAAGTCCCAATGAGTGACTGCAYCAAGCACCAATGCTGGGGGAGGGGAACCAGGTAGTCTACATTAATCAATAAAATGTCCACAATTTCTGCTCAGAGAAGTCCACAGAGACACCTGCACCTCCCTTGACTTTGCATAATGGCACTTTTGAAAAGTGGGCTACTCAAGGTCCCAGGCTACAGATTAAACTCCACAGCTTTACACCATCAATTATAAAGTCCAGTGCAGATGAATACTGAAACCCACAGGCCAATCATCACCTCGACCTATCAGCTACGCAGGCCAATAGTGAGGACACACAGGACACCTCACCACACCTGTGTTTCATCTGCTTTAAAGCTTAACATCCAGGTGTCTGTACTGGCGGGAACCACGGGGCCCGTGTCAAGCTGCTGCCAAGACAGGTACTCACTTATTCCCGATCTTCACCACAAGATTGGGGTCATCGATGATAGCAGGGTTGTCCACAAACTGCTGATAGGACACGGCTTGCTCCAAAAACGCATCTATAATGGCATTTGTAAGGAATAAATGAGAAATACAAAGGGAATTGGGCCCTCATTCATTCACAAGTATCTCCAAGAGCAGAAGTCTCCACTGCGCACACAGCCTGTAGAACGGAAAAGGCGCCCGTGCTTGTTTGGGGCAGTGTCTGCACTAACATGAAGGAGGCTGCAGTGGAGCCTGCAGGTGTGGAAGACATGTGTTCTCCCGCACACATGGGAGTGATGCGTGTGCTTGCACAGAGGGGCATCCACACAGGCAATCTGATGGCTCTGCAGGGCAGGGAAGCCAGGCTTCGGCTTAGTCACCCCAGTTGGTAAYGGGGCAATTGACTCCTGTGCCCCGGCCTCAGCCCCTCCTCTGCAGCACAGTAATGAGGGCAACTTCCTGGGGGCTCATGAGCAAGGACAAGGTCATTCGAGGAAAGCGGAGTGATCGATATGGGCAGCTGTGGTGCTGGAGCTGTCGTCTGTGGGAGGAGGGGTGATGGTGTGAGAGCCAGTGCTAACCGTGCCCAGCCTCCGGGGAGAGGCTGCACCACTGTGCCCAGGGCAGCAGGAACAGGAGGACACTCAGTGAGGGGCTGCGGCATGAAACCCTGGCTTCCACTCAACTTTCAGTTCGGCTGGACGGTCCCTTGGGCCTTGACCAGGGGTCTGACCATCTCCCTGGCCCTGACCCATGCCCACACCTTCAAGACCCATCAGATATTGAGAATCACCTCTGTCCATGGGCAAGCTTGGTCATGAACRGCAACCCAGATTGGCCAGAACACATACCCGCAGAATCCCGAGACCACGGGGTCTCTCCTCAGAGCGCCTGACCTCCTCTGCACAGACAAGACATTCTTGAGCTCCATCCACGAGCCAGCTCAGGTGACCCACCTGTCCCATTGCTGCTGTCCCCTCCCCCACCAGCTGCATGTGTACTGAGGAGGGGGTGCCAGCAGGACACTGGCCACCTCATCCTCTAACTGGTCCCAGGAGTGTGCTTGTCCCATGGTGACCTCAGGAACACACTGGGGTTGGCTATTAAATGTGTGAYCCTAGGAAGACGCCACAGAGCAGCMGAATCAAGCCCACCAGGAAGGACCAGCTGGTACAGGGGCCAGAACAGGGGCCCCAGTCTTTATGTGAGAAGAAATTTTTAAAGTCTAGAAGGGACTTTAGGATGAGGATGGGTCCAGGAGGGTTTCCCTGGGCAGGAGAGAAAAGTGGAGTGGCTCTTGCACGGCAGGGCCTCCACCCCATGCCCTGCTAGAAACAGCGGCCACGGGACAGAAGAGAGACCCGTGGTGGTGGAGGGGCAGTGCTGGCAGCTGGGTCACTAGACTCTAGTAAGAGTCATCAGCCGACAACTGCCAGCAGGAGCGGAGTGGGGGGGGGGGGGTGTTCCTGGGTGTCTCACCATGTAACTGTCACTAGGAAATCACTGTTGGGAATACATCAGATGCTATGAATTGACCGTCCAAGCCTGCCCTAATGGCGCCCTTCACCCCGCTGGGAAGCATCTCCACTCTTCCTCAGACAGACTACCCCTGAGCCCCCACACCTTCTGCACACCTTCCCCTGCGCCTGCTCTGAGAAGACCACCGTTTCCCCAGACAGTGGGCCCCTGAAAGACAGCTTTGCAGGGCTGTCCAAGGCACAGGGGACACCAGAGGTGCTCAACAAACACACATGATGACTGACCCCCAGAGCCTGTTGTTGCCCAGAGCCATGTGTAACCAACAGCACCCCGGGGCCAGCTGATGGCCAGCCAGGAACTCCGGGCAGAGCAACAGTGAGTGGCTCAGCCAATCCGACCACAGCCAGAGGCCAGCTGCCTCCGACATGACCCATCACAGCCACCCACACCTGGGCCTCCTAACCACGGCCACAGTACCTTTCGTGATTTCCCGGTGGTCACTGAGGCCCCCACAGAGGGAGATGGCAATGGATGGCAGGTCCCTCAGGCCGTCCGAGGTGCTCTCCATGCCACTGTCAGCGCCCGAGCTGCCCACAGACTGCGGGGACTGGTTGGCTGACCGGGCTCCGTTGTCGCTGGTGTGTTTGGCGAGCGCTGGAGGGTCTCCGCTGGAAGAGGGAAAGCTGCAACTGCCGAGGGTTCCCCTCCTGGGTCCCCCCGCAGCACCACATGACCCCTCAGGACAGGCTTRTCACTACAGCGCCCAAAGGTAAATGAACTGCCTTGAAGAGAAAGCACCCGTTTGCCACCTGTTACAATCTCCCTGTAGCCCTCCCAACCCTGGGAGGGCACGGTTCTCGACTCTCGCCCTCCCAGACACGGCCCTCCCTACAGCCCAGGAGAGCTCACACTGGGTCCCCAGGACCACCAGAAAATCTCCCCGGGGAGGGGAAAACAGAGCTGCCAGCTGCTCTTACTTSAGTTGTGGCCACTGGATGCTGAGACCCAGCTAGCCCCGGACTTCGCTGTGCCACCCATTCCCAGCCCTCAGCCTCTCACCCTCATGTCCCCAGAAGGTGGGGGTGCCGCAGGCCCACACAGGTYGAGCAGGCCAGGCTGCGGCTCCCACTGCTGTGCTCGCCCACTTTCCAATCAGGCACCGTCAACACAAGCGGGACTCACACGAACTAATGCTCAAGTTACAGAAAACGAAAGGAGGAATTAAAGGAAATTTTACTTTTTGGGAAAATACAGGGCTGCCACCTCAGGATCCATGTCTGTGAGGTCGTCCAAGTAGACGCCATCAGCACCGAGGTGTCTGCTTCGTTTATCTGAAGGAACAAATGGAAGCAGTTGGAAAAGTGCTCTCCAGAAACCACCTTGCGGACCACACCTCCAGGCATAGCATTTTAGCTCAACATGCAGATGTGTCCCTAAATACCCAAGAACTAGGGTAAGAGGTGCAGTGGGCAGCATCGCTGCAGGGCCAGCTGCCCGGGTCTGAACCAAGGCTCCAGCTTCCCACTGTGCGGTCCTGATGGAGCCCCATGGCTGCACTCAGCCCCAGCCCGGCATCCAGAGAGAGCCGAGTTGTCCTGAGCCCTGGAGGCACTGGAGCCATCACAAGATCATCACTGCTATTAATGACCAACACTTTCATAAAGCACAACCCGTTAACACCCCGAGACACAGCACTCTAACTTGGGGCACGGCCAATCGTTGTGCACCATGACTTCAGACTTCCTCTCCACAGAAACTGCACAGAACTGCCTGGGTGATGATGAGGCTCGACATCATCGCCACTAACAGGCAATCAGGGGAGCACCTCAGATTCCCAGATCGGAATGCTCAGTTATAGAGTCTACAAAACTACTCTGAAATCTGTGGTCCCCAGAATTCCCAGGTATTGAGGATGAGGGACACTCAACATGSACACTCAGCAAAAAAGCACAGATTAGATACTAAGACTGTCGTGGTTCATGTCTGCCTCAAGGCATTCTGAAGTGAACTCTGGGAGGAAGGAATTCAAGTGCCCAGTGGATGCGAGTCTGTGGGAATGAGCTGGGMGCAGGCCTCACACCTCTTTTCCTGGAAGGAGAGTCCGTCTTGCTTGCAGTGGGCACTGCACTGGCAGCCGGGGCCTTGAGTTCTTCCGCCATAGGCAATGGCGGGGCTGCTGCTCCCAAGGCCTCTAGGTCTTCTTCACTGACAAACTGCATCTCTGTCGGAGGCTTATTCTGGTCTGAAAGAGGCCCTCTGGCCAAAGTTGGTGATTGGTCACTAAAAGTATCTGAAGATTCGCTGTGAATGGTCTGAAAGTGAGTTTTATCACAAATTTTTCTACTGCACAGTGGGCTGGACTCTTTCATCTTGTGTGGAGAAGATGACTAGGACCAAAACAGAGAGAGAGAAGGGAGAGATTTGAGAACAGGTCCAAGCATGAGCAAAGAGAAAAATTGACTCAAGCCATCTGTGGCAGAGACTTAAACCTCGGGATTCACCCAGGGATTTCCACACCTGCCCAGAGGCCTAGAAACYAAGAATAGAAGTTCCAAAGCAAATGAACTTGCATATACAACATCAACTGCCAAAAAGAAGTAAATGAGATCAGTAATGGCCAAGGAGTGGAAGCAACCCAAGGTCCCTCATCCTCAATACCTGGGAATTCTGGGGAMCTCAGCAAAATGAGAAGCAGACTCACACAATGGGATATTTTGCAGTGATGAGAATAATGYATTACAACTACTCAGAATGATAAGGATGCATCTTGCAAAACTAATCTCTGCTACTGCAAGACAGAACGCTCATCTTTGTGGGGATGGAGGGGTCAGCACGGCCCTCCATGCTGCTGGCCTGGTCCTGCCTCTCCCTCTGGGAGCAGGGTGCCTAGATGAGCTCACACTGTGAAGACTCCCTGAGCTCCCACTTGTGATCTGTGTATTTCTCTATGCCTGTGTTACATTTCATTACTAAGTTCACCCCTAGATCACAAGTGAATAAGTGAAGATTCGGGGGTTGCTTGTTCAAATGGGAGGGGAAATCTCATTTCTGATTCTACTGCACTAGAGATTACCTGCTGTGGAAAAACAGGACTCAAACAAAAACCAAAMTGCCATTTTCAGGCTAGGAAGGGAAGGGAATGCAGTTACTCTGCATCTGATCTGCAATGTCTACTACAGACAAAGCCACAGATCTGTGGTTACAACTGTAGAAGTGATAAGTCTGCATGTTCACACTCTGCCTCAAGCAACTACAGACAGACATGAATTTGTAAAGCTCACTGGCTGGGTCACCACTACAGCTCATGGGCAGAGAATCAGCATTTATATAAAAGTTAAGCACAGACAAGAAAGGGATGGATCCACAGTTTAGCCTTAACAGACTTGCTCTCCAAAAAGCTGCCCACCTGACGCTGCAAGAAATGCCTCCAATCTGACTCATTCCTTCCTTCACAAACAGTCACTGTGGTACAGGAGGCTGTGACCTCTTCCAATGACCTCAAGTTTTTGTTTTTGGGTGTTTTTTTTTTTTTTAAGCTGACAATATAATAGAATTCGAAATATTTATAATACATTGGAATACAAGAAAAAAATTTTTCAAAGAAAAGACTGTGTCCACTCCATACTTTTAGAAACCCATCTGCTGCCACTCCTGTGTACTTGAGGTCAACACACTACATTGTGCAGCTAGGGAATCAGGCTAGGTATGTGGCACAAACAAGGAGGAAGAAAGCAAATATTCAAAGGGCTTCTGCAAGCCACACACTCCGCACATAGTATCTCTTCTAATCTGTGGTCTTCTCTCATCTTACAGGTAACAACACGAGGCTACCTTTCTAGAGAGTGCTGGAGTGCAGAGTGAGCTGGCCTCCCGGGCCCTCCGCCCCATGCATTCAGCTGCTTCTCTGCTTGCTGTTCAAAGAGTCAGATTCAGAGCTCTATCAACAACGAGGGTCCAAAAATATTTACCACTTGACAAATCAAAGCCTGAGAATTTCCTGGTTTATGAGGCTCACAACCTAGTGTCCTATTCCACATCTGCCTGAGGGACACAGGAACACATGGATCCTGGCCCTCATAGCTTACTCAGCCCTTGATTCAAAGGGCTCAGCCTCAAGTGTCTCTTCCTGTGGTGCTTCTCCCATCACCACTGACCTCGCGGAAGTAACGCTGGGTGGGACTTTCTGTTTATGGCTTCTAGACATTGCGGTTTCTGTATAGGTTTTGTTTGTTTGTTTCATAATTTTATTTTAGTTGTAATATAAATTGAAGACCCTAAGAGAGATCCTGTATGTTTAAAATATATAAATGCAAGACCCTTTTATAATGTTGGTAATGCACAAAAAAGCAACTCTGCTGTTCAATGTGGTTTTGTTGACTAATATCTCCTATGGTTACGCTTTGCTGTGATGTGACATTAATTCCTCATCATTAAACTTAGGTAGAAATCCTCAGTGTGGGGCGGGATGGAGGGGAAGACTCACCTTTGCTGCCTGTGGCAGCTCTCCCCAGAGCCAGAGCATTTCTAGGTTGCTCTTCAGTGCTGACCTATCCGTCGACTTACTGACCAGCTCGGAATCACTTTTAGGCGTTGAGGGTCGGGAACCTGAAGGACTTAAAAAAAATAAACCCATAATTTAGATAAGGAAAAAAAATTTCCATTGCTTTTTGTCCAGGTCTGTGGTTCAAAGAGCCCAGAAAATGCACCCAACACTGTCATTCTCTATGGAGCATAGCCTCATGACAATTCCTGATTTAGCCATCAGRGGTCCCGCATCTGTCTCTAGGTGTGAGTGGTCCCAGGGGGCAAGTCTTAAGAACCTGCTGCCAAGCAAGGTAGACAGTGAGAAATGGCTATAGCRAGAAAAGGAACATTGAGAAAGAGAGAAGCAAAGGTAAAGGAAACTAGTTCCCTCCACCAAGACCACCATCCTTTCACACCTGTCCTGGGCTCGCCTCCCTGACTCCTTCCAAATCAAATGTCCCAACTCCCAGACAGCTGCAGAGGATCCTGGCCAGCTCTGACATTACACCGAGTATTGAAAATATTTACAAATCTGCATTAGTTCTGAAAACTAGAGAAACTGTATCATGTAGCAATTTCCACAGAGAAMCTCTATAACAAGGCAGGAGCATCATCTCCCAAGCTCTCTTCCAGGKACACTCCCAATTTGCTAAGGCTCCTTCTGCACTGACCTCACACCACTTCACTCAGGCCAGCCTCTAAGTAAGTGGCTGCAACAGGCTGTTCCCTCCAGGTTTTCTATATTTTTACTCCTAACACCTGAACAAAGTTTTACTTCTGTCCAACCAAACTGGATAAAAGAATCAAATATGTTCAAGATTCCCATAGCACACTAAATAACACAGAGACAAGAAGAAAATACCATTTACTTAATTCTTGAATTATTCCCCTATATCAATTTCCTCCAAGGGAAGATGGCAGAGTCTTTAAATAAAGCAGGAAACAAAGAGACCACAACTTCCCCTCACATCTCCTTTCACAGACCTTATCTAGCCTCCTCAGCAACCTCTCATTGATGCGCAYGGTCTCCTTTATCTGTCTGAGTTAGAGTTCAACTCCAGCTGAATAYAAACACTTTCCTGTCAGTAAAGGAGAGCTAATGACGGCATGTAACTTGTGGCCAACAGAGGTGTTCCCTGTGGCTAACMGGATGTCCTTTAGTCAACTCATTTGCAGCCAACACACTGAATGCACTCTTCCCACTGAGTGCACATAGGCTGGTCCCTCCCACCTTGGTGCTGGCTGACCACTGAGTTTTCCAGGTGGCACGAGCCATGGGGCAGCCCCCCCACTGCAGTTCATCTTTCTATGGGGAGGAGGCTCCTGATAAATCACACTACAAGGCTTACACCGTGACACAGTGGAAGTGTATGTGTGTGTGTGTGTGTGTGCACACGCACGCACACACACGCGCGCGCGCGCGCGCACACACACACACACACACACACAGTTATATTCTTAAGAAAGCTGTCCATGAGGAGGAATACTGGGTCCCGCACCTGCCTGCCTGGGTGGGGAGGGCTCACTGCCCCTCAGCAGCCTGCCTCCTCTCCCTCTGTAACTGTGCTTTCCTCTCCTGGCACTCATGTGTCCGCAATCACATGTTCACACCACTGAAACGAAAAAGGGAGGGCTGTGGCCCCTGAGTCCACTTCCCTGSGGCCCTCACGGAAGTCCACCCTGACCAGCTTCCTATTTAAAATCTCCTCCCTTCTACATTACACGCGAAATCTACTTACATTTTGTTCTCAGTTCTTGGGAACAGCAGTGGTCTGACCCACGGCACTGAAGTTGCTCTAGAGCAGGGCTCAGCTAACTGCTCCAGTCAAGGGCCCAGTGCAACAGGCTGTGGGTCACATGGTTTGCTGCAACTGCTCGATTCTGGATTCTGCCACTGCAGCACAAAAGCAGCCCAGCCCGTATGCAAAGGGACTCGCTATGCTCCACAGAACTCCACAGAAGCACAGGGCAGACAGGACTGGGCCCTGGGCTGACATTTGCCAACCTCTGCTCTAGAAGAATGAAGACGCTGAACATGGTGCCAGTGGCCCACCCCAGCTCTGTGGCCACTCACACTCCAGTCCCTCATGAAAGCTACATGTGGAGGGAGCCCATGGAGGCACTGAGGGGTATGAGTCCTGTGAAGGTCATAAGCTGGAGGCACCTTCTTCAGGACAAATATGACACGATCATAAACACTGCCCTGCTCCAACAGACGCTGCACACACACACACACACACACACACACACACTCACACACACACAGAGCCCTGCTCCAACAGATGCTGCACACACACACACACACAGCTCTGCTCCAAAAGACGCTGCACACACACACACACACACACACAGACACACACACTTCACAACCAGCAGAGGGCACTGAGGCCCATGGAAGAGGAGCTGGGAGGAGACAGGCTGAGGCTGAGTGTGATTCATCAGAATTGTGATTCTAGAATGGCCCCTTATCAAACATCACACTTAAAGTAAAGGGTTATTCAAAAAAGGAAGCCTACAAGGTCGCTGGCTAGCTGGCTAATTTGCAAAAACAAGGCGTCATCAGCCTGCACACTCTCAGGACTTCCGCCAGCCCCAGGTGGGCTGTCAGCTGTAACTATCCACGACCTGACCTCATTTTAAAATTGCCCTTCTTCTTCACAACAGCCTCTCAATAAAGTGCACCCTGAGGCTTGGCTCCTTAATCAAAAAGAAAATAGGTTTCTCCTTGTAGAAATTCCCCATGGCTTCATTTGCTGAAGTTCCTATTCGAGTTGTGTAAGTCCATCAAGTCGGTAAGTCAAAGTGTGGACAGAGCTGAAGAGCCGAGAGCAGAAATCCCAGACAACAGCATCCATGATGGTGCAAATGAGGTCCTGAAATCCATGCTGTGCTCGTCTCCTAAATCCTGCTCTAGAAATGCTGTGGAAAATTCTGAACCCATTATTCAGATAGCCTGACAGGCTACTGAAATATTTATAATAAATGATGACTTATACTAAAGTGACCTCCTAAAAAGAGCTTGTAGGCTTATTTGTTGAACAACCCTAGAMATAAAACAAAAGATCACATTCCCAATCTATATCTCATTACTCTAGTGTTCAAAGCACTCCATAGAATTAGGAAAAGTGATATGTCAACCATCATTTCCAGAGAGTCAAATTTAGGACTTTAAAAAAAAATCTAATAAACTACAAATGTTTCAGGTGAAAGAAAAATAATCTATATGTATTTTCTTCAGAGGTGAGTTGGTTAGTAAAATAGATTTGTGTAGATCAAAACCTCCACTCCCTATCATTGACAGGCATATTCTTCATCGGTCATTTGGTTAATGGGAATAGACAGACTCAGGAGTTAGATCAACATTTCCACTGCTGAAAGCGCCCAGTCAGGAGCGCAGCACATCTACCTTTCTGAAGCATGGAAGTGGGAAGGCTGCGGAGGGCAGGAACTAGACAGGCCACCCTCGGCTGCAGCTGCAAGATGAGGGGGAGTCCTTTTGCCATCTACCGGGCTGCTGGACACACCACATGATACACATTGAAAGAAAGAAAAAAATCAGAGGTCAATTAAGTGAAACTTCTTGTAAACTTTTTAGCTACTCTCAATAGTAATGTCCATAAAAAAATGAAAACATTCAGGCTTCTGACAGCAGAGCTCTCTGGGCCAAGATTATGAAGAATTCAACTTAACTTTCCTGTTTTTCCACAAAAACAGGAAGGAAAACCCTATTTCAATTTCCATTTCATCCATGTGCCCACAAAAGATGGCCTGTCTCTCTGACTGTAGCTTAGTGCTTAATCAGACCACACACCCAAAGTCTTGAGAGCATCTATGCTGTCAATTATCTCTGCATATGGAAATGTATCTACTTAGCCTAACTTGTAATTCCATTTAACAGTGGTCACTGTCGAATCATTATTCTAGATTATTCTAAATTCATAACGCAAAATACTAGACACAGAAAAACTTACTCGGGGCTGTGTTTAAAACATTTATTTTATATTCTTAAGACTAATGTATGGATGTTTCAACCTACTAGTGTTTCTAAATACTGTGCACTGTTTCCTCCCATAGAGGTTATCCCCGCAGATCCAGGGAAAGGACACATGGGGCTCTGGAATGGCCCTGAGTCTATACTGTTCAGTACAATGAGCCACTGGTCACATGTAGCCCTTGAGCACTTCAAATGTGGCCAGTCCAAATTGAGATGAGCTGCACATGGAATATGCAAAAGAATTTAAAACAGCATGAACACAGAACATGAACTATCTCATTGATTTTATCTTTAAATTGACTACTTGTGGAAATAATATTTCAGATATATTGGGTCAAATGAAATCTACCCTTAAAATTAATTTCACTCTTTGTACTTTTTAAATATGGCTACCAAAAAAATTAAGATTACATATGTAGCTAAGCACTGTATTTCCATCAGACAGGGCTGGTCACCATCCATCAGAGCCCCAGGCTCACCCTGGGACCAACATTCACTGCCAGCCCTGGCTGGGCACAGGCACAGGACACACCCACCCAGCACCCACCCCCCAATATCAGCCCATGCTGCTGCCTCTCTCTTGAGATCACCCTGAGCCAACTGGACCCAGGAGAGTGCTCTGATGAGACCAGCCTCGGGTTGGAGTCCCCTACAGCACACAGAGCTGYAGGAGCTCGTCCAGCTCCATTTCAGGCCACTCCAGAAGAACCACCCAAGGACGTGACTGTCCGTAGACAAGTATTTTTCTCACTTTTTTTCTCTCATTAACACCACACCCCTGAGCATTTCAAGAAATTAGTAGTCTGACCCCACTCCCTGGCATTCTAATGCCGTACCCTGTCAGAGACAGCAAGGCTTTATATCATCTAGGATCTGTTTGCCACCCAAGAACCAGTTTTTGCCACAACAGGAGTGATAGGAGTGATACTGCCCCTTTTGAGAACACACAATTTAGATCCATTCCCTTCCCAAGAGGGAAAAACCAGGCAAAAGTGCTCCTGTGTTCTCCAAGGCTTCCCCGATTTAAATCTGTGGAGTCTTCGGGAAGGCGATCTGCACACCTAGCAGCCAAGTTCACCTGGGAGCTCCTAGGCAGCTCCATGTGTTCAGGGACATACACACTCTTGAATCGAGCAGCATGGGTTAGGTGTGGGGTAAGCCGTCACTGTARCAGCCCTGAGGGACCTCAGCAGCTGGAACCTCTCTTCTCTGAACCTGACTTCACAGAGGACCAWGACGGCCTCTGCCACCCTGCCTCCTGCTAACAATCAGCACTTCATAACTAGCCAGCGTTTCTCCTCCAGCATCACCGGCAGACAGCTAACTCAACAAATGAATTCAGTGTGTGATCTGCGCCTGTCCTGGTTTTACCCAGTACCTGCTACTCTACATTGAGGTTTTCTGGTCCTAATTGTTTTCTTTGGTATTTATATTCCATTATTTTCTTTGACATGCTTCCAGTAACTGGCTCCTAACTCTTTGGACAGGGACGAGTRAACCATGACCCACACACAGGCAACTCACCTGGGGTTGGGGGACCACTCTCGATCTGAATTGGGGTATGATGCTGACTGGGGATAAGGCAAGACTGAGGGGAGGTTTTCCTTGGGAATCTCATCTTGGAATGGTGGTATGTCACTAGGAAGAGTTCTGGAGGAAAAAAGGTTAGAGTCAAAGAACTTCCAGGGACATATTCATAATAAAGTCAAGTTCTAAGTTCTTTAAGTATTTCATCAACCAGCGTAACAGCTTAGGCAGTGGAGAGAGAAAAATATAGAGATGAGCACAAAAAATGTGTTTGTGTGTCAGGCTGAGTCACAAATTTAAAAATGCTTTGTTTAAGCATTTGGACTCAATCATAGGCACGTCACCCTGCTTTCCTGTCCCACTGCAGCATCTTACTGTCACCCTCTGCATTATACCTCACAAATGTATGAGAGGCAGATCTGACCCAAAGCCAGACCCAGGGGTTACAAAACCCTTGCTATATGCAGGTGGAACTGCATTGTAACTACAGGGCCAGGCCTGCATGTTCTGTCAGCCAGAATAAATAAATGACATCAACCAAATGTATCTTTTCATCACCAAGCGAGGGCCACACTGCCCAGTCTCTGATACATGAGCATGCTCACAGCAAGATGTGATTCACTCCTGCAGAGGCCATCTGCCTGCACCCACGACGGGGCCTGCAATGCCTGCAGCCAAGTTCCAGAGCTCAACATCACCCAGAAGTGCAAGAACAAGCCCAGCCCCCACTTCTGCACCCACAGTAGCCTGGAGGCCACTGGAGTGAGGAAGAGCATTGCTGCCCACCCACCTTCATCTTTAGCCAGAAAAAAATAAATCCTATCCTGAACAAGGAAGCAGGGACATTCCTGATGTTCCTTATCCCCCGTTTACGTTAACAAGATGTAAAAATAATTATCAAAAAGAACACTAAATTATATGTAAAATAGCAAGTATTCTTTAAAAATGAGTTTTGTCTTCCTAACTGGCATTTTTCACCAAAATAGCAATATATAAAACAGAATTTCACTACACTCTTAGAAACAAAAAAAAAAAAAAATAGGGGTAAAAATATCCACAGTGGGGATGCAGACGAAAGTGAGCATGCACTAGTCATTTCAACCTCAGCCTGTCACATGTCAGCAACCTACAAATAGCCAACAGCCACGCGCAGAGCTGGTGCTCAAAACAGAGCCCAGAGCTTAGGCTTCTTAGGCTGCTAAGGCCCTGGGTTTCACCCCCAGCACCAAAAACTAACTAACAAGGTCTGAGGAAATGACTTTGTTCACCCACTGCTCATCGACTGCGTCCTGCTTCCGGGTTCTACTCTGAGCTGGACTTGGCGGCCACGGAGCTGGCCCTCTCCTGCACTCTCCCAGTGAGAAGCTACACAGAATCTCAACTCCACTCAGGACACTCGATTCCAAAATCCAGACTAAAGGGCTTAAAAGTAAGAAATTCTGAGGAGTAAAAAAAGAACTTATAAAAGCCATCTTAAAAGCTACTTCCTCCAACCCCATATGCCCCGCCCTCCCTGGGCCTTCACCTGCTGCCGTCCAGCGGCCCCGAGTCCTCATCCGAGCTCATCTCTATGGGAAACATGTCTTCGTCCTCAGACGTGTTCGWGTCGTCATCCCTCTTCAGGCTGTCCAGTTGGGACTTCCTCCTCCTCTTCCGCCTCTTCTTTACCAAGGAGCCACTGGACGAGGTCTCGCTGGGTGGCACAACCTGGGGAGGCGTGCAAGGGTCCAGGCTCCTCACCCTGTCTGCCGAGTTCCTTTTCAGCTGGGACTCCATTCTCGAAGCTCCTTCGGACAGGATAGGGGAGGTGGCCAGGTACATGGGGATCACTTCCTGGGGAAAGGACGCATTTACAAGAGTCTGATTAATTTGGGCTCAAGGAGCAACAGCCAGGTCAGCAGTTTACCAAATGCCATCTGTATTCACATAATCAGAACCCAGTGAATCAAGAACCGGTGATTTCCAGCCTCCACAATTCCTCCTCACCTGAAATACCCAGAGCAGTGAGAAAAAGGAAGGGCTCTAGGTCACCACTTGGTGCTAGAAGGCGACTCGGCTCTGCACTTTGTCGTGGGTGTCAATGTGGGTGGGGGAGACAGGCAGAGCAAATGTGTGTGTACCTTTTAAATATTTATTCTTTTGGTTTCTATTTGTTCTTTTTTCAACTTTTTTATTTCTTTTTATTTTTGTGTGTGAGCCAGCACTGTCCATGATCAGTGGTGCAGGACGCAGCGCATCTTCCAGCAGCCTCCCAGATGCCCAGTGAGGTGGAGGGGAGCAGGCCACTGCAGGGTGCAGCCTCTGTGGCCTCCTAGCCCACAACACTTCTTGCAGCCTAATAGGTGTGAACAGGTTGAAAAGGCAAGCGGCTGCTTGAGCATGAAGAGGTCCCGTCAGGACACCCTGAGGAACCATCAGGCATCCTCAGGCCTTCGTATTCACAGAGACAGAGCAGACAGCTGGGGTCCCTGACAGCCACAGGGCCATGACAGGACAGGGCCCTCCCGCTTCGGACCTCACAGGAACACCAGCACCCTAGGTGTTCACTTAGGCCTGGGGCTACAGGGAGCCATTCCTTCCCACCATGCCCTCTGCTGGTAAAAGGATCTAGTTCACAAGGATCTCAAGGAGGAATCACTACTCAGATCCCTTCAGTGAGCAAAAGAGTTCAAGGGGAAGCAGGTACAGCTCTGTGGCAGAGCTTGCCTAGCATGAGCAGTGCCTGTGTTCAAACCCTGGTCCCTCCAAAAACATTTAAAAATTAAAAAGTAGTTTAGTTTGTCTTTTGGAAGGAAACCAGTAAATCTTTGCAGCCTTGGATTTGGCAAAGGAGTCCTAGCTAGGTAGGACACCAAACAATGAACAACAAAATAAAAACTAGAGTAATTAAAAGTTAAACAAAATCCTTTTAAAGAGAAAGAAAAAATAGGCAAAGCTCAAAATGTGGAAGTGACTCTGACCACACAGCCTTCCTCACCTGATCATTATCAGTCTCTTGAACAAAAAATGCTTCTCCATTATCACCCAACTTCATATGCAAATCCACGGATTCACCGTTGATTTCTATGTCAACCTGAGGGAAAGGCATGGTTAGGAACACAGGAGCTCCACCAGGACACCTCAGGGAGCAGCCACACCCCCACACACTTCAACCCCAGTGCCCTGAGCACTGGGGTCCTGAACTAAGAGGCCCTTGACCATGAGGGATGAGACCCAGAATGGAAGAGCTCCTCGGAGTCCACCTGGGGTCCAGTCTCTCCTTTTCTAATGTCGGGGCTGAACCCAGGGTCTCACAGCTGGTGAGTGGCAAGAGTTCAACTTCAGACTACGTCAACACCTCCCCAGCCAAGCACTGGTCCTGGGAGAGRGCAAATTCGAGGAGGAATCCAGTGCCAGCCTGTGAGCCTTCTGGCTGAGGCCTCAGCAAAAGAGAGCAGAGGCAGGTCAGCGGTGCCCCACGGTCCCCCTGAGCCACAGAACCCGGGCCTTGATAAACAGCTGTGCCTCTATCTTTCAGAGTAACTGACAGTCACAGCCACTGGAGCAGTTTGAATTAGTGACTGTCAACTCAGGGAACTGCCATTCCCAAGGGACAGCTAACAGCCAGGTCTCAGAGCTCGGGGTGTGCAACAACACAGAAGCAGGATGCAGTCCTTAAGGAAGCCGTGCACTGGCTGACGGGGCCCCAGTCTCACCACTTTCTCCCGGGAACGCAGAACCCCCATCTTCCCGAAGCGGACATGGAAAGGGGAGCACTGCAGACTCCCATTGGGCTGCCGGATGACAATGATATCGATGCATCCCGACAGAGTAGCAGGGTTCAACCCCTTGTAGAGCTCCTTCACAGTGACAAACACCTGGCCRGCCAGCTGCCCAACGTAGTTCATGGTCTGGGCCTAGGAGACAGAACAGATAGGACACACACAGTCAACCAGGGAAGCCACCAGAGCCAATCAAAGTGAACAACTCCCATACAACTCACACATTCCACTTTCACACTGCTCAGATTATTTTGTTTCTGGAATGTTCTCCACACACCCACCACCACCAGCAACACCCTCCACCCAGGCAGGGCCCAGCCCACAGAGCCCAAGCCCCATGAAGACAAACTGCAGGTGTCACCAGGGTGTCTTCTCTGATGCCTGTGAGCCCTGTCTGCGGAGTCCTCATGGCTGCTGCCACCTGTGCCTGCTCTGCCAAGGTGCACAGGTCTCACACACTAAATATTCCTCAGGAGAGAGGCTCTATTCTAGACAGCTGGCACCCCGAATGTGCCAGCAGAGTGGGTGCCCAATAGCAGCAGCTGAGAGAAACTACTTCCACCTGAGAAAGGAAGCAACTGACTTCTCATTTCTAACAGTTCCCAGCCAGGTCCTTGCCTGYGGACTCTTCTCCCACCACTGGAGGGACACGCGCACTGTGCTGCCATCTGCCTGCCCACAGCCTCTCACCTGCCACTCTGCAAAGGTTCAGGGCCCTGCAAATGTTCAGGGCATCTACTCACAAAACAGATGCAGCCCTGGGGCACAGAGGTGCGGAAGGGTAGGGAGAGCAACTTCAAATGCTCGACAGCATAGCAGGATAACTAGAGTTCACACTAATTCAATGGAATTTTCCAAAATATTCAATCTTGAAAATTGAGTATTCCAAAATAGCTAGTAGAAAGGATTTTGACTCTTCCCAACGCAATGAAATGATATGTCTGAGGTGACATATTTGCTGGTTACCTTAACCATTACACATCATACATGCACTAATGTCACACTCTACCCCATAAATATTACAATTACTGTGTGTTAATTAAAAATAAAAATACATTTTAAGACACAGTCCCTTGTTCCCTGAAGGGACTTGAAGACTTGGGACGGACTGAGAGGCACTACATAAGTAACTAAAAAAAGTCAGCATTGCTGTGTTTAAATGCAGGCTAGGGGAGGTGTGACCTAGGAAAGAGACCCAGAGCGGGTCCTGGGAAGCCCCAATTTCTAGCCAGTCGGTCGGAAGAGCAGGAGGCTGCAGCTTGCAGGTGGCACTCAACATGGGTACAGTCTCATCAGTACAGTCTCGTCAGTACAGTCTCGTGGGCCAAGCCCATCACCTGTGGGATGTGACACTAGCTCCAGGTGACACAGAACCCGCTGGTATCTGCCAAGAACTGGAGAAATGCTTGGTGTGGAAGAGACCACACTATTGGAGTCAGAGTATTGGGTGAGAGCAAACAGTTTTCTTTTTATTCTTTATAAGCTACACTATTCTCATTGATCAAGCCCTGGACTTCGTTTTAGGGGAGAAAAAAAAAAAAAAAAAAAACCTTATATAAGCCTCACCTCTACCCTATGAACTAGGCATAAGTGTAGGCGGAAACATGCTCAGAGGTGGCAAGTCAGATGCCCTGCATGCGTGAGTTCTGCCTTAGAACTGGCCAGGGACCTGGAAGTAACGAAGGAAGCCTGCAAGAAAAGAGCACAGGAAACCCTCTCTGGCTCCTTTGTGATTTTAGGGGAGGCTCCAGAATGATCCACTTCCTGCCACCACTGAGGAATCCAGCAGACCCTRTAGCCAGCACATTTGAGGGGCTCAGACCTGCCTTCCTCTCAAACAAGTAAATGCCAGAGCTGCCTTTTCTAAGTTTGCTAGTGGTGCAGGTTCACCTAACTTCATGCGAAGGCGAGGGGTCCTGAAAAGGTGTGCAATATAAAACTCATTCTCTGTAACCCTGACACTTCTTTCAGCAAATCTCCATAAAAGAAATTATCACCCCAGAAGTTACACTGAGGTTTTGGTATGCTGCACTGTGCTGAGTGTGAGCAGCATGTGTGCRCAGTGTCAAAGGCATATGCACAGCTTCTGCCTTGCACATCTCATTCTCATGTGTCTCTCACAAGAATCTGCWGATACAGGCCTTTCAGAAGGGAGCTGGAGATAAGCCCTAGTGCAGCAAAGTCCTTATCCAAGACTTCAGGGCTTGGAGTTCAGTGCAAGACTGGAAATGGGGTCTCTGGATTCTGAAGCGGGCCTTSGATGAGTTTTGTCAAGCCCCTCTCCCATCCCCCAGAGCTTCCTAATCTCCTCAACCTTGAATATATATGCAGACTATGCTTATCACTGAATAAAGGACTGCTGGTATTTTTCATGCATAYGAAAGAAAAAGCTCCTAATGGGATGGTATTCGCACATCTCTGCAGCCCAGCTTCCCTCTGCATGAGGGCCTGGATGACCTGCAAGGTCCAATTTCAGCTCTAATCAGGCCAAGATAAAAGCTGCACTCCTTCACRCTCAGCAACCTAATAGGCATCTTTAATAATTTAAACTAATTGTTGCTCTGCTCTCCTGTCCTCCAGAACAAAGCATCCCTCCCCCTCAGAGTAAACACACTCAAGGTGATCTCCCAGAATCTGAAAAGTTTCAAACCAGAAGGATCCTGAGCACATGGCTGCTCCAAGGGCCTTATGTTAAGGAAATAAGCCCTTACACGGAAAGTGCCTTGAGCAGAGCTCCCCGGAACTGCACCACCATGCCCCTGTGGCAGAAGGAGCCAAGACTGATTTTCTGCTTGCTCACCCACCGTGGGTGCCACTAGTTGAAGCTGGAGTACTTTCCTACTGCAAGCAGCCAGAMGGCGCTGCCATCACAACTGCTGTTGGTCTTCGGAGGAAACCAGTAGCTCTGATACCTGCTGCTCTCCCCTCTAAGGATAACTTCTCTGCGAATCTGAAAATGCCTCCATGCGGAAGCAGAAATCTACTCAACAGTTAAACAAGCATTAAGGTTAAGGTAATAAATTTTATCTTATGTGTATTTCACGACGATTATTTTTATGAGGGAAAACACCATATTAACCAGAACTCATTCCAGGAAGATGAATACCATTTGATTAAAAAACTTCTTTGACATCAACTTGGGGTAGAGGGGTAATGCCTCCCCAGGAGGCAAGATAGGTGGGGCCAGGGTAAACCCAGTCACACAGGCACCTGCTTGGCTGAGGGTACACAGGTGCTGGGGGCACCCAGGGCTCTTTTCTCCATCCCTCTCCCAGGTTTTCTTCTGAATAAATAATAGGCAAATATTTAAAGATTACAAGAATAAACCAGCTGGGCGGAAATTCCCAAATTTCACTTTMTCCTGTTGCATTTAAAGTAAAATTCTTAAGGAAGAAATTAATTCAATTTGCCTGAAGAAGCCAGACAAAAACCGGCCCAGATGGGCTGACTCCTAACATGCCATGATCTCAGATGACCTCATCAGTCGCTATTTGCATTTCCTGGTGTTGGAAGACACCTGACCAGGCAGTAAGGCAGTGCTTGTTTTGAAGAAGAAAGTACGTAAATAACCTCAAGGTAACAGAAGGTAAGGAAAAGCTTAGGAACAAAACAAAATGCTTACATTTCCTGTTCAACAGCGTTAAGACACCTGCTACTCATCCCCCCTTCCACACAGCCTTAAAACCTACTGGTTTCAATCTCACAATGTGGCGCAAGGCTTGCAGGTTCCACAGTCCCTAGTTTAAAAGCTTTTGACAGAGAATCCAGTCAATTATCAGCAAAACTCCTGGGGCCAGACTGGGTTCTCGAAGCTGGACCGCCGGCTTTCTGAGAAACTGTGAGGTTACGAAAACACGCAAGCTCTCGGTCTTGCTGAACATACTTCTGTCTTCCAGTCTGGACCACTGGATATTCTTTCCTGGGTAAATTCTGCCTAGATAAATGTGGAGGTCGTGGAGGGAGCTCCTGGGGGGCATGGAGGGATCTCCTCCTTCAAGGCCCCCGCCCAGGATGGCAGGCAGCACCCGATAATTAATCTGCACAACTCCTGGCAACTACAGACACCCAAGGGCACCGACACCCCAACCCCGCATGGCCCAGAAGGGCAGCACTGCTGACACTGTCAAAATGGCACAGTGACCGGAGTCTCCAGGCTCCTCACCTAGCTGTTACATTAGAAGATTCTGCTTTAGTCCAAATTTGGAAGAATCCACCTCCAGGCTTCACAAATTGCCAAGAAACACTGCTTTCTTGGAACCTGAGTCAAAATCCAAAAGCTCTGCCACAGCTCTCATTGCCCCCACAAGTTCTGCTAACCCCATCCACTTCTAGAAGATCAAGATCAGCTTAAGATGGCCTCATCCAGCCYTCTGGAAAAACAAGCAAAATATATAAAAAGTTCACAAGAAGAAATACATCTGRTCGATAATATATGAGAAGAAAATACCATTCACAGAGATATGCAAGTCAAATGTGGCCTTTAGAGGGTCTAAAATCAAAGTACTTCCTAAGAACTGCTGGATTGGTGAGGTRGGAATTACAGACACCTACCCCTCATGGGGTCATCAATGGGGTCAACTCTGTTGCAACAGCTACCCTTTCATATACACATGCTAACAAACCCCAGCAATTCCACTGCTACGAACTCATCTACAGACATAGTAAGATCGCAGGTCAAAGACAGTAACTGCTGTCTCCTTATAATAGGGAAAATTAGGAATAACTTAAATATCTACACAACTCTGTATTAATAAATTACCAACCACACCATTGTTATGTTTAAATGTGGTGTCCCCCAAAAGCTCATGTGTGAGACAATGCAAAAGGTGCAGAGAAGAAAGGATTGGGTTATGAGAGCCTTACCCAATCAGTAAATTGATCACCTGATGGGATTAACTGAGTGGTAACTGAAGGCAGGTGGGGTATGGCTGGAAGAGATGGGGCATTGGGGGCATGGCTTTGGGGTATATATTTTGCATCTGGTGAGTGGAGTCTCTCTCTGCTTCCCACACTCTTCCATCATGTTCTGCCTCACCTCAAGCCCTGAGGAATGGAGCTAGCCTTGGACTAAGACCTCTGAAACCATGAGCCCTCAAATAAACTTTTCCTCCTCTATAATTGTTCTGGTCAGACCT